ACAAGTTTCAACAGCATTCAACAAGAAGAGAATAACAGAAATTAGTATGAGAAGATGAGTTCGAACTTCCAATGAGAACAAAGGTAAACTTGCATCATCGAATTGAAATTCAAAACGTCAAAAGAAGCATTTATTGAGTTAAGTAAAATCGATAAACCTTAAGGAGGAAAAGAGACGAAAACAGGGAAGAAACTAGAACGTCATGAGCAGAGCTTGGTCACACTCGCACATGCGACATCCAAACTACAAGATACAACTCCTTAATTATCCATGAAAGAGAAAAGTTCTTAATGGAAAAAATAAACGAACAAATTAGAGGGTTAGAACGATCGTTTTGTGAAGAAGATTTTCAGCGAAGGAAGTAAAACAAAGGAAAGCTAAAAAGTAACAAACGAATTCAAAACATGAATTTTCTTTTTGCTGCCGAGATTGGTTCATTGGTTATTTTTTCGATTTCATATATATATTATGAATCTACGGTTGGCGTTTGTTTATCGTCTTCAATTAGCACGACATGTAATATGATGATTAACTTCAGCATTCATTCGGAGAATCGGGCTAATAAATGAAAAAGATAGAACAGCGCAAGAATAAGATGCTAGAAAAAGGCTCTTCGACGAGGCTACCTGACTCTAAAGAATCCGAACAGTCAACTACAGATGCCTCCCGTTCTATATCCTATCAACACGCATTACGGATGAAATGAACATCACGTTATTCATACACACTGGAACATGGAACTACACAACACAGAAGCATCCTGATCAAGATACTATGGAAAGTTGAGCGCATGTTTCAATAGAAGTAGATAAACACGAGAAAAAAATTTCATAAATTTAGTTTTCATATAGAATGTTAGTGAACAGTACAATACCAGAGAATCTGCAGCAATTTACAACAATATCTGCGTACGTTGATGATTAATTTATTCTCATTTATAGTGTCGAGGACACAAGAACTTCGTTCCTTTCTCTAAGGAGTTCGTCCACAGTTAGAACACCGATAGGAATATGCACAAGGTAAGAAACATAAGAAGAGTAATGCTAATGGAAAGGCGAAAATACAAAGACCGATAAGACATAGAATATACAAGAAGCTCAAACGTCGTTTGAAAACTCCACCCTGAAACAAATCTATAAATATTTCAGGGCAATATTTATCACTACTTACGCAAACTCGACAGTTACCCGTAGTTACTTGTACGAGAACAGTTGATTGAGGTGTTGGACCTTCACGCACATCTGAAAATATCAAGAAATTTAACAGTATTGAACAAATACTCAACGAATGATATTCTGAGTTGGATGTTGAACACCCATAGGGTAGGGAGCTTGAGGATGATATCCCATATTGGGATAAGGCTTCGGAGGAAAAGTTGAGTTCATCGGTGGTTGCCCATAGGGAGCAGCGGTTGGGAAGTTTATTGCTTCTTGATACGATGGTAACGGAGGTGGCCCAGGATATCCGGTTGAAGGTACGGATGGCATTGATGAACTCCCCGATGTAGCTGTTGGATAAGGTGGAGCAGGCTGTGTAGAGATATTTACTTGCGGATAAACTATAGCACTGGAGGGGATAGTGGAAGGTTCACTAGGTAAAATAATAATATCTTCAATTTGGATTAAAGCTTACGTTGAATTGTTATCCGGTTCAGGAGCACTGGGTATCACCTTTTCATTCTTTTCCGCATCTGCCATTTCGCACAAACTTCTTAAACTAAAAATGTAATAATGATTTTCTTGACTCGGAGAAAAAGTACGAATAAGTAGAGAACTTGGTAAGAGAAAAGAGAATATGAGCATAAACGATTATTCAATAAACTATAACAATCGAGGATTATAACAATTAGCGCAAAACAAAACCGGCAATTTTACCTATGCTCCTAAGACAGATCTTCGAAAAAAAGGTTGAGCAATATTCAAGAGATGATGATCCTAACAATAAATATAACGACACATGCTGTTCTTAAGTTAACTAAGAGGAACTGGAGCTAAACCTATTAACGTACTAGTTGATTGATAAAATATTTTTAACCCGAAATTATTTTGTTAGTTTATGACCTGAAAAAGAATCATCACATAGACAAATTAAAACAGCACACTTACTTCGTAAGGGAATTTGCAATGGCATCTCATCCGGTACAATAACCGCATGCAATTCGTCCCGGAATAAGTATTTGACTTTAACCATCTTTGCCTCACCAGGACAGGGATCATAAAAACCGGGCAGTTGACTCTGCAACGACAGAACAAATTGGAAAAGCGTTGTACAAAAGGGAAACCTTGACTGAAAACACACGAAGTTGTGAATCATGTACCATCGATTGTAATGGAATGGTGACGTCAATGGTTTTATCTCCTGCTATTGGATACGCAGAAGAGCCAGAGACATCAGATTGACCATATCTCAACGATTGAAAATTAGTTGGGAACGCATAGGGTGGTTAAATACTTTGCTTCTACAATTATAATACCATGTTTCTGCTCCTCTTCTCTTTTTATTCTCTCAGCCGTTGGACGCATCAAGTTAATCACTCTGTTCGCCTCATCCTGCTTTGCAGGATCGACCTATGAATGATATTTAGATTATGTAAAAAAAAGTTGAAAAACAGTCACTTCTTTCTCATTACTGCTATCATCGAACCAACTAGTAACCTTGTCAACCCAAGAGCGAAAAACGACTTTGAAAAGCTAAAAACGCAAAGAAATTTGCAACAATGTTTGAACATACTGAAACAGTAGCCAACGGGAAGAGTATACCATAAAGAGCACTTCTTGCTACAGAATCTCTATCATCACACAACACAAGTTGCCATTCAAAGGTATTTTGCCCTGTCTTGAGCCTATGACAAATGAATTATTAGTCAGCGTGAAACAAAACAAACTTGAATTTCGAAATTAATAGACAAGATGGGAAAGAGAATTGTAAAGAGCATCCTACTCTCGAAAAGCGGGTTAGTTTCCGTTCATAATGAATGGATGGTGAAACTCCTACTCAGAAAAAATGAGATAAGAATCTTCGATAGCAACTGTTTAATCAAACCGAATAGAGAAAGTTGACAAGCCATCTCGGAGAATGCATCCTTTTCTGGATCTCTGCGGAAATAAATCATGCGAATATTAGAGTTGGCCGGAGAGAGCTGAAGCAATAGTTCGCTAATAGTTTTTTGCTTCGTCAACTGAGCATACTGTGAAGTTTGTAACAACTTTTGGTAGATTGTTTTCGGTATGAACTAAAGTAGTTGTAATTCCGCTATTGAGAGGAGACCAAGACAGAACGATACTTCCTTGCAGTTTAACTCGCAGTCTCATAGTATAAACTATATCAAAAGGACAATAATTAAAGCAAGACATCTAAACTTACTCAACGTCAGAGCAGGTATGAATTGCTCTTGGAGCATTGAATATTGAATTTGAGGTTGAAAAATTACAGCAGCTCTCTGGAACACATTTCGCGAAGCTCGGAAAACTAACCCCACAGCGTCACTTGAAAACGTGAGATTGTTCTAAGTAGAAATAATGCAGAGAAACTTATGGAAAAAAAAAACCTCAAAGTTATAAACACTATAATTCTTCTTCCATATAAGAGAAACACTTCCATCACCTCTTCCATTTCCTGATTTAACTCTTCCTACGACACCAACACGATCGCTTGACGTGATACCACAGTCCACTGATTGAGATAAGCTCAAGCCTAGGAGTTGGGGTAAATACCTGAATGTATTACTTAAGCCAAATGCTAACACTCTCTACGACCTTTCTTCGGGATCTTCGTGGAAAAGACCAACACAAGATGTTTTAACAACGAAATTTCCCTGTAATCATCGTGATTTAAAATCAATGACGCTAAAACACTACCGATGGATGAATACGTTGCAACATGAGTTCTTGCTCTTTTAACCTAAGCAGAAATTCATATTCTCTTCGAATATTCTCAGGATTTGCAGATCTTGATATTAGCTCCCATCCTTGAGTTTCCAACCCTTGGATACCAAGAGCATCATAAATCGCTCTTTTTTTATGATCCATCAAAGCTATAACAAATTTGATTCTAAGTATACAATAAATAGCAACAACTTTCATATGCTTTCTGGAGATTCTGAAATAACCTCTCCGCTTCTTTTTTATCATCTTCATCCGTATGTCTATCAGGATGAAAAATCAAACACCGCTTTCTATATGCTTTTACGATTTCGTCATCACTCGCCTGAGAAAGTTTTTTTACTTTTTAAATATTTAATGAAGTTGCATTTAACATAATATGAGGTGGTGAAATGAACTTACATCTCGAGGTACATTCAAAATTGCATAAAAGTCAATTTCCTCTTCTTCATCCAGTAACATATCATTATCCCCATCTCCGAAATATGAGCTTCCGGGGGACACAGACATTTCTTACGGGTAACTTCGGATACTAAACAGAATCATTTATATCATTACAAAATAAATTAAACAGATGGTTTGGATGATGAGTCTAATGTAGTTTACGTGTACGTGATTATTGCATTTGAAAAAGTACGCAACGCCATTTCTCAAATGTCAGTAGCGAAGTTCGGTTGCTTCTCTGTTGCGCGATTACTATGCATACCGATCTTTATTCTAGCGAACGAAGAATGTTAAAAGATAACTAAGAAGATTCATATGATTTAAGCTGAAGCAGAAAATAGTAGGCTAATTTTGAAGTATATCTTAAATAGCATGATATAGTTGCATTATTCCAACTAAAATCAAGCTAGGTCCGTCCTGTGTTCAAGCAACACATAGATATGAATATATAATAGAAAACAGAATCAGATCAAATAACAACTCTACTTGCTTCATTATTAATTTACTTGCATGATCTGATTTCTTCATCGCGTCACTTTTTACCTTTAGAAGTTTGGTGGTAATGAGAAATGCTCGAAAATTTGATTCATATCGCACAATTCCCTTTGCATGAGCACGGATTTTGCAATAACAGTAAATAGAAAATACAGAACGTTTAATGCATTTTGTATTCCTGCATTGATTGTTCGCACGTGACTGTTTCAACTGTCCTCGACCGCGTTCGTCTGATTTTCTCTCAAAACTTCGGAGGAAAAAATTGGATCATTGATTTCCTAACTTATATATATCGGCGGTTTTTGTTCAATTATGTCATGCGTTTCAAAGTTATCTTCTCTCGACCTGTGTGGGTGCTTTTATAATTTTTCTGAAATCAAGAGTATGCCAATGAGAAAAGAGTCATGGATGAGACAGTCATCATGCTTATGATTATATTTGCTTAATATTTTGCGCCGCTGATGATTGTCAATCTTCAAAACTAGTTCAAAGTTCCCAATCTATTGACTACATAGCGATGATTTTGCGTATACTAGCACTTCATTCGATTGAAAAATATAAATTCCAACATGATAACTAAAAACTGATAGCAACGCCTCATGATCGTTGTTATTCTTAAGCTTCTGTCATTACAAGGTGTTCTGTTTTCATCCATGTAAGTTTTGAGCAAAAAAATCGTCTATGACAGTGATGTTGTTTCCAATACAGGTAAGCGAAATTTTGTTCAATACAGAAAACTCTACATCGTACTGGTCCAGTTAGTCTTAAATTGAAAAGCATGGGCAAAAATGAAAGACTCCAATACTGTCTGCACGGAATTCTAATTACTCATTGAGAGTCATCATCTTCATGGAAGAGTGGCAAACTAGTTGTAGCTCATGGCAAACAATAGAATGACAATCTGGCGCTCATAAATGGTGTTGTAAGCTTCAGAAGAATTCCTGTAAACGAAACGATACATCACAACAGACCAAACGACGGCATTGTTGTGTCAACTGATTGGAGGAGGAAGATTGAAAATAATCGTTTCGAATAAATTCTCTACGTTTCCCTTTCAGAGAAAAACCAGTTCAAATAAACATAAACCTTTGTCTTGTTGTACACGTTGATCTACCCTTACAACATAAAAAAGATTGATAAGTCACCGATATCTTATTAGAACCCCCCATAACATCATAAGCTCGGTTACAAACAAGAAATACAATAGCATTCGTTGGTTTTCTGGGATATTTTAAGCCTTCCATTGTCTGAGGACGTTCTGTGGGTTTTTTCCCTGGAAAATTACGACTTATTGTATGTAACATGTATGCGATTGTTTTACTTGTACACTTCCTCTTCCTTCCTTTGTGACGATCGTTCCGTCAGGCTTCACAATGACGAGGGCAGGTATTCCACTCACCTCAAACTTTTGAGAGAGCTCCCTAAAAGTTGATACTTCTTGAACAGATGGGAGTTGAAGCTCACTTGATCTTATCGCTACCGAAAGGTACATGGTACCAATCACCATGGCTCTCAGAAAGATAATTTTGCAAATCCTGAGAGGAGCGATCGAAAGAAACGAAAACAACTTCAAACTCTTCAGAATCTTTGAGTTCATTATAGAAGTCCTAAAAAACTGATGTTGAGACAAGATTGGTTTTCATACCTTCAGGATTGGAGTGAACATACGGCATGGTGGACACCAATGAGCCGAGAAGTAGATTCCCACAATTTTGTCCTGATAGTAAACTTATATATAATCTCCTTCCATTAACTTACTTTCAAGACATCAGTGCTATGCTTGCTTCCATTCGTTTTCTGAAGTTCAACTCCTTGGAAATAATTTGCCATTTCTATAAATCAAACCATTCAAGTATTCAACACGGCTTCAAAAAATGATAACGAAGAAAATAACAAAAAAATAAACAATCGATGAGTAATTCATGTTTTGAAGACAAGATAGCAAAATAATCGATGAATATGACACAATTTGAAAGGCAGTTTAGCGATGGAATTGCTTTCCTCAGCTGGAACCTGAAAATCGATAGAAGCCTTTGGTTACTATAGATATATAAATGATAAGAGCTACGCAGGCAGAATTCCATAATAAGAGAGTACAAGTGTGGAAATAACCACAGAACAACCAAACTGGAAAAAGGGTTGCTTTCCTTTACTCACCAATTTCAGAACTATTTTCTGTGATGAAAGAGAATCAACAGGCTTTCATTGAGTAAACACCCAAGACCACCAGATCAATTTCGAAATTTCGAAAGAATAAAATTGATTGGAAACTCTTAATTCGTCACCTAAGTAGACATCTACTAGCTATTGAATGGGGCAGTTGATAAAAAACAGAAATAGACATAACAGACAAACTCATGACAGATTGGACATGAGTCAGTTTGTGTACTTCAGACAAATACGATGTGCTATCTCTTTTGAGGATTGCCATACATCCAACTATGAAGCTCACAAGCATCTCATTGATTCATGAAATAATACCTGTAGTTACATCATTACGTAATTGTTTCTTTTAATCAGCAATACTGACATCATCGGCGAGTGTAAGAATAGAGTAAAAAAATTTCGTTTGAACTAAACACGTGACAACGCGATATCACGTATTCAATAAACCGTTGCGTACTTTACTTGTAGATAAAGAGAAGGCAGCGTCTGTAGTGCCAGCCAATCAATGCTCTGCCAAATATGCTAGTGACAGAAAGAGGTGGTGTATCATGTAGGAGTTTGCCTATGGGGTGACTAATTATTCAACGCCATAGCAACGGCGAGAAGACAACAATGAAGCAAAGATTGGGTTTTAGAGTTTTATTTTGTGACGGAAACATTACAAGTTACAAATTAATTGACAAATTACTATTTACAATGAAATCGTTGCCATCATACTGAGTGAGAACATGCGCCTACATACTGGACAACGATTCCCAAAGAGAAAGAAAACCGTCCAATGAAGAGATGTTAAAGTATTTACAAAATGTTACAGCCTACAATTTTTTATGGGTCTACCATCCATGGTAGGTTTTTTTTACAATGTAGGAGATTGGAAAAGACAATGTACAAAGAAATATTATACAGCTAGACCTCGCCAGCACCGTAAACAGATTCATCCGAATAAGCGATGTAGAGGAAAAGATCTTCTTCGTGATGTTCCTGGAAAAACGAAAATATTACGACTGATGACACCCATTTGATACCTGGTAAAGCTGTCCCATAGTGGTCATAGTTTGAGGGATTACATTGTTCACAAAGAAGAAAAGAGCATCCTCTGGTCGGAGTTGGATTCTAAATTGACAGTCGTGTTCAATAAGACGGCTCACAACAAACCTCTTGCGAATCAAGAAATAAAATTGTCCTACAGTTAAATCAGAGGGTACCAAATACTTTTTCTTGTCCAAATTGTGGAGATTCGACTTTGGGGCTTTCTCCACGATAACCTAGAAGTTTAATGCTTAGTTGCGGCGAAAAAAGCAACTCTCATACTGGGATTCTATCGGGATACTTCCTTCTTATCTTGTCTCCTTCAGCGCGTCTCTTCTCGAAGTTATTTTCCTCCTTGTAAGCCCACTTCATTATGATTCAAACTCTGAAAAATACGAGATTGACTTTGGTAGAAAAAGACTCAAACGAAATATTAAAGATGAATGAAATAATAATTAGTAGATTTCACGACAATATGCACAAGTGATACGTTCCCACAACACGAATGGAACAAATAGAAGAGCACATGTGACTGGCAACGCAAGAAGAAACCGGCAGACATCAGCTGATTGGAGTGGGCGGCAGCTAGAGACGTAGAGTATCGACAGAAATCGATTTGTTTTGAAATCGGAGACACACAAGGACTACCAGCACTAAGTGTCACTGGTTCATCATATTTGTTATAACTAATAAGGATATTACAAACAACGCTCGTGAAATTTATAAAACTTTTGAGTTATTTTCGAGCGCATGAAGAGCGAAGTGAAGATAAGAGGTGAAGACCGATTGTGCTACCAAAATGGATTTGAAATGATCCTCTTATCAAACAACCATAAACGAACATGACATGAAATGGCGAATCATCGTTATGCAGAATTGCGAAAGAAGTACTAATAACAACACAAACTTCACTTTAATTAGTACTGGATAAGGAGAAACTAAACAGGATACCAGTTTAAAACACGAAGAAAAAATGTGACAGCAAATAGTTCGCAGTGAATCATGTGATGAGGACTAGCTACGGTGCGTCGAAAGACCATCGTAAGTCACATGAAACCGTAGTGCTTTAAATATATTGTCGAATAAGGAATATGAAGAAGAAAGACGCCTTCTCGAGGTCAGCTGGGTCGAACGAATGGCCCATATGCAATAATAAGAACAAGCCAAATATATGCTAGAGCTCGCAGCAACCCAACACGCTTGTGCACATCAGCTGACTGAACCGCTCGCATGTCCGCGCGTGCGACTAAGCCGACCTAACATGTTAGGTTCCATCCGTATTTGGGTAGACCTCATAATGACAAAGACGCAAACAAGCTGCTAAGGCTACAGCCCTGGCAAGGAACGACGACCTCGGCTCGCAATGTCAAAAGAAGACAGGTGCGAGATGGAGTTTGGGGGAGAGGAGGAGCCTCCAATAAAAGTAGCGCCTGCGGTCGACGCGAAAACGATGTGAAGAAATAGCTAACACCGGCAACATGAATGTTTTTTCAGTTGAGTAGAAGTTCAGTTCTTGCGTTGCTCTACTATCTATTCAATAAGTTCTGAGTTTCTCCTCGGAACTAAGACAATTGGATGGAACAGGAGCCTTTTGACAGAACGAACTCGTGATTTTATTGACGAAACACAACAAATTTCCAACTACTTTTCGCATTGGACCTGGTTTTTCTAGAAAACGCTGAGAAACAACAGAAACTGCTGTTCAATATAATGCACTGAGTGAAACAGTATGAAAAAAGAACCTCAAGTGATCTTAAAGCAAATTTATTAAACTTTTCCTCCAGTCAATTTCATGTGTGCACGAACAAAAGTATACCCACAATTTATAGTTTTTTCACATAGGGAACCAGCACGTGGCTGCGACATACAAGTAACAATGATGAAGCAGAAATATACAACAAATTCACAGATATCTCTAAGATGAATGATATTATATATCTAATAAGGGGACAGCGAGAACTAAAATTGATGTTTACATGTCCAGTCCGTCATGAGACATCTGCTCAAATCCTATGTCAATTGCAGTTCCTACTGCGATGACTGGATCCTGAAGAAATCAGACATGAGATTTACGTCATATTTTGCTAGAGCAGATATTACCTCTATAACCTAGTCTGAATTTATCTCTTTCTTTATGCCTATGCCTATCACCATCATCTTTTCTAGTTTTACATTTGGATTTGAATTGATCTATTCTTTCTCTTGCTTCTGAGCAGAATTCAGCCCATCTAGAACTTCATTTCAGTAACGTCTCTTTTTTAACACCTACTGATCTATTTTATCGATTTCTTTCTTTTTGATAGCTCGGTCGATCCGTCTCAAAGATGCACGTTGGAGGCTATGACTCGTTTTTTTCGTTTTTTTCTAAACCAAACATTGAAGAGATAAGGTGAAGCTTGACAAACTTTTTCGGGTGATCCTGTAGTAGAAGTAGAGCTCGTCACATTGAGCGCGTCACTCTCCCTTTGAATAGATCTATCCTATAACAGAATTGATTTTCAAAATGTAAAAGAATATGATTCCTTACTATTGCAGATTCTTCAGAAGTGTCCATTCTATCGTCATGGATGTCACTGTTTCCATCACTTTCTTCATCCGAGGATAGAACAACTGTTGTCTAAAAAACAATCTTTCTTATACTAGATTCAGAACACTTTCCGTACCCCTAAATTTGCTACACGCGGACATCTTGGACGAAAAGGGCGATAAGCATACTAAGACATAAAAAAAATTAGTAAAAGATAGATAAAATGAAACTACAAAGCTCATTGGATCAGTGTCCCATCTATGACCATAAACATCCTCCACTTCAAGAGCCGGTGAGAAAGGTATTAGAGATTGGGAAGATTCATTCTGCTTTGATTGTTAAGAGTGAAGAGGAAATCAGAACTTACATTGTGACGTGGATCTTCAATTATAAGTATATCATCCTCATCTTCTGCATTTTCCTGAACATCGTCCAAAACGACTACTGGGATATTGGGCAAAGGAGTTCCATCAAAAAAAAAATATTATATGAATGAGCTATGAAGTGTGTACCTATATTAGATTGTCGAGGTGTGGAGACAGGAACTCCTCTCAGACGATATCCTACTATTTTCCAATAATCTTCGCATTCCAATCCGCTACTAGCAAACTCGAAAAGTTCATGCTGGAACCTTTCACTAATGAACGGAGGGAAACCAATACTTATCAAAGACGTCTGCAGAAGTAGGTCATTAACTAACTATCACCAATCTGACTACCTTGAAAGGCGGTGCCATTATCTGATATATACCACAAGACTCAAAAATTCTATTAGCGACAGCGTATCGTCCTTCAACAGAGCGAGTCATAACTCTTAGCTCGCGTTTCAAGAGATTTGTAATAACTATAAGCTCATTGATGATGAAAGGAACTACCCGTTCACGATTGCTTTCCATGTTTTCACGACATAGTTTAACTGTGAAATTTCTCTGAAAATCGGAATATCTTTAAAGAAAGGAAGCAACACCTACTCGTGATGGATTATCATTGGAATCAACGATAAATGCAGGAGCATCGCAGCAATAAATAACGAAACGAAACTTTATATTACTTGTGAGTTCGCTTCTAAAAAAGCCAAAGATTTTGCGTTGTGGAATAGAACGAACCTAGTGATACTTCTATCGTCGATTGACTGAGTAAGAAGCCTCAGAGCGGTCAGTTCTGATACTCTTTCTCTATATTCACGTTCATTCGACATAGGGCAACTGTAAGCAAATCGATCAATTATGCTTAAGAGATGAACCAAAACTTCTCTAATCGGCAGACTAGAGCTCTGAGATCATGAATTCGTTTAGTTAATAACATTCTCTCAGAAACGAGAGGGACCGCATTACATCTTGTAGCTCTTCTTTCTGAAGCCAGTTCATCTTCTAGCTCATTCATTAATATTCTGGAGCGAACATAATCAGAAAATCGTAAGAATGATGTAGAAAACTTCTGTGAGGTATGAGCATTTAATACTCGAAGTAAACAGGTTATGGGCTTTTTGCACAGTGGACAAGAGTTGATTTCGCAGTGCAAAAGCCATCGCCTTATGCAATTATAACAGAAACTATGATCACAACTTTCCAATCTAGTTGGATCTGTTATACTATAAAGATTGAATGAGAGAAAAGGGAGTAAGAAACTTACTTTCCAAGACAAACTGAACACTTTTCCTTCATTTTTTCGACAGCCTCTTCTTCAGATTGTCTGTTAGTGGTATTATCATTTGACATTGTTTCTAGAGCATTATTTTCTGAATACGAGATAACTAATGTAAGGCTTTTCAGCTAACATACCAAACATACATTCACCTGAGTCATTACTTACTGTTGGACAACTCATCAAAAGAAGTCTTTAGTCTGGAAAGTAAAAAGAGTTTTGTACAAAATGGAAGAAAATGTAAGACTTCGCGATTATACGTTCATAGAGAAAATTATTATATTCAAATAAGAATATCTTTACTTGGTAAAAAAAACACTGAAAAAACGTTTGCCTTCGTTGATTGGCGCAACCTTAGGAGGATTGACCTATCACTGGCCTAAGATACAGTCTCCAGGGAGGAGGTTCACGACATCTGTTTATTAGAAAATGAACAACATATCTGTGTAGATACTATTGTTATTCATTTAAGACTATGGCAAGGAATGGACAGTAGTACGATTTGCTTCGAGCAAAATTCGATTGTAAAAATTGAAAAATAGCGATTTCGTACATAATCAGGAAAAGTATCATAAAGTGACGCTGCTCAATCAATAAAATATTGTGTGATTGCCTAATCCCATGGGGAAGTTTGAGAAATTTTCCGTTTTTTCTGAACATTTTCAGCAGGATCTTCATCTGTAAAATCTGGGAACAAGTTGCCACTGCTATATGAGTTCCAATCATGTCTCATTTCTCTCTTAGATTCGCTGTTGCTGGTTTCACCGCTTACATCTCTTTTGCCCAATTTGGGCTTAGTAAATATACCTAGAATGAACATTCATAGATTATATCATTGTGTAAACAAACCAAATATATTAGCAATTTGCTCATATGCCCTAGGATCAAGATGTTCGCTATTTCGCTCGTTGCTTTCAGTATTCTGAATATTTGAGGAAACAGTGAATAACATATGAATATGGATACTTGTGTGTGCTTCCGTTTGGGTTTTTTCAAAATACACGATTTACGCATGTACAGTTCGGATTCGTTTTCAGACTCAGATGACAATTGTTCGGTCTAAGATGGGGAGTACATTGATATTCTGGGGCATGCTCACCGTTTCGACATCTTCGTTATCAAAGTTGACGAAATCGTCGTCTTCATCATCAGCAATATCGATCACAGGAATAGAAGCGTCTGTGCTCATGATATATTTTTAATTTACATTATTGCTCTTACCACCACATAAGCCGCCCACACAAAAACTATCAGCTGTTGATGGACCATTCAGTCTACAATTGTTACGAAATTAATGAACAATCAGAGCAGTAAACAGACTTGTATCCACAAATGTTCCAATACTCTTCCAAAGACAAATTGCTATCAGCAAAGTCCTTCAGTTCTCTCTGGAAGCAATACATATCCTTGTTTGACACGCCGACAGAACGCAAGCAGACCTGAATTGTTATTGGTTGAAAATATAAACGAAATATATAGGAACCATCAATTCTCGTGAATATAACTTGTGAACCATACAGCTCTGGAGAATGTTCTGCGCAATTTCGACGACATTATGGATTCTTAGAACAGTCAACTCATGTTGAATGAATGTTAACAATCTTCCTTGCGTCCTTCGGCTTCTAGTTTTACCAAACTCGAAAGAGGTCTAAAAGCAACTGTGTTTTTGGTTTGTTCAAGCCAACAAACCTTGAACGGATTTGCATCTTCAGCAACTTGGTACCAAGAAATATCCATTTCATAGATTAGATGTCTAAACTGCAGATTACTAACTAGCTGCTGTCTATGAAATAATTTCTTGTCGACCTATTCTATATCAGGGCACAACCTTGTATAAAACCTATTTGAAATATTCTGCAGAATCGATCGTAGAGTGGTCAACTCAACTACAACTTCTTTATAAGTATTGTCATTTGAATACTCTCTCAAAAATGAATTATTGAATATAAGTCGAGTTGTTAAAGATTACTCTGTTTTTCTGGTCCTCATGTCTTCCAGATACTTCCGGAGCTCAAAAACACGTTGGTTGACAATTATTTTCTCATCGTTCAAAGGGGAACCGTTACAAAAAATTCGCCTGTTCTCAGCCATCAAATCTTCACGGATTCCAGTCATGAACGAACTAAATCAACGAAGAATACTAATGAAACATGGAGAGAAACTGACACGTCGAAGTCTACACCATTTTCTTTCTCATATACAACAAATAAAATATCCTTTCTACATAGAGGACATACTTCAGAGCTAGAGCAGCGGAGCCATCTCATAACACACGTATAACAGAAAAAATGACCACAAGATCGGAGAACCGAAAATGGCTTTATTCTAAAATTATGAATCGCGATGTTAAGCTTTCTACAGACTTGACTCACTTTCCCCAACAAACCGCACATGTTTCCTCTGGTTTCAATTCCTTTTGGAGTTGCTGAGCCTTCTTAATTTCATCTTCCATTTCTATGATAGTTTCTACTTCCACATAATACTCGATTTCTAAAATGACAACCGTAGCAACGGGCGTTGGTTCAATTAGGAGTTTCGAACGCGCAGAAGGAAAAATTATTCTTGAAAATTTTAAAATGAGCAATTGTGTTGGATGGCTTTAAATCATTCACTTTTTATAAACTAAACTCGATATAAGTTTAAGAAAAATCAATATCATATGAGCTACAACGACATCTCAAACGAAATGCATTGAATTCGAGTAAGCCTATAGCAGGCTATGGCGCATATTTCGGGCTCTTGCGTATTATTCATACATTCGTCCAGATAGTAGTAGCCTTCGACAACTATTTTCATTTAGGAGTTTTTGTATACTGTTATTCATTCATTAACTAGATCTCATATCCAAATATGAACGGGGAAAAATTACGGTTTGCTGTTAGTTGCTCTAGTAATATGAATCGCAGTATGGAAGCTCACAGTTTCCTTCAGTATGAACATCCAGTAGAGATATGAGCGTAACTTTCTCACTTCAGAAAAAGAGGATTTCAAGTTGATTCATACGGATCAGGGACACAAGTGAAATTACCTGGTCCGTCAGTCGATAAACCAAACTGTTACGAATTCGGTTCCACTACGTATGACTTCATTCATAATGATTTGAAAACTAAGGATCAGGCATTGTACAAAAGAAAGTTATAGCTATACTCTTTCAAAATTATCATTTAGTTATTTGCAAAATGGATTGCTTAATATGTTAGATAGGAATCGAAGAATCAAGGAGTGTCCTCAAAAATTTCAAAAAGAAACGAAAGAATTTGATGTTATAATATGTCTAGAAGAAAGGGTCTATGATCAGGTAAAACCGAGGCGTTCGTAGTTTTTTTCATGCAGCATTCTGTTTAGGTGGTGGAACACTTACATTCTCGTCCCCAAACTTCTTTAAACCCTGTACATGTTATTAATATTGATATTGAGGATAACCCAGAAGAAGCTACAGTAGGTGCATGGTTTGTCTGTGACATCTGTGCTAAGGTTTGGTGAACTCCGAACTTGACATCTCATGAAACCTCTTCAGTTAGAGAAATGTTCGGACCTCGACAACGAAATCGACGAAATATTAACAGAATTTGAAGCGGAGAATCAGAAAAGGAACATTCTACACACAATTTGCTTCTATTGAAATCAATCTCCAAACATGTATCAATCTCACTCAGATTTCGATTTTGTGACCACAACTACGTTAGGTTGTTCTTCCTTAATAGCGTCATCAATTTTGGGTTGCTCATAAAGAGAGATGTCATCAATGCATAACTACAAATAAACATGAATTGTAATATTAATTCGCACCTACTTTCAGCTGGCGAGTTTCCAAACCTTTGGAAAGAATCCTCACAGCATCACAAGGCTCGCAGTAATCCTCTTTCAAAAATCTTCAGAAAAAAAGATGTTTCTACATCCCTCCGAACGCTCTACCTGTAGCACAAGCAACCCAGACCACATACCCACCACAAGCTGAGACAACATAAAAGTCCATGAAATGTGCCCTGCTGCTCCAAGGTCTGAATAAAGACAAATCATACTCGTTGTTCGTCGTACTCACTTCGTTTGAACATTTGGGGCAGAGCCGAACATTTTTTTTCTCGACCGTTCCTTTCTTACCCATGGCTGACTAACACAACCGGTTGAGCGCCTTCGAACTTGAAAATGAAAATCTGCGTAATTTATTTATTATTTCGGGAAGTTAACAATAACAACAACAGAGTCCTACACAACTAAACTACTTTTTAAAAATTCATTACACAGAAGAAACATCAACAGTTATTTCTGTGGGTAAGTATACTGGGATTTTACGATCGGTTGTTTTAACGCTTATAGTCTGTTCATTCTGAACGTCCCTCTTATCGGAAGAAACATAAACACTTCCGAGAAACTCCTAAACATTATAAATTAATTTTCATCACGTTTTTGAAACTGACTGGGAGTTGAGTGAAGGTTAATTTGACAGCATTAGCCACAATATCAATGTTATAAAAGCTTTCTGATTTGCTGTACCCTACAATGTCATCCGAACACCTGAAACAAAGGTTCATTTCAGAAGATACAATAACTCTCTCACCTTCTCATTCCTTCTGCTATCACTCCGAAGCGTCCCGTTTCTGTTCCTCCAACTTTCAATCTCAAGTGAGAAGAATCCTGAACAGTTTGGTCATTTGTTTCGAAAATGTTCTCAGTACCTCATTTTGTTCATTATTAATCAGCAACTCAGTTCCTTTGATCGTTAGTTGATGTTCTACCCCGCAATTTTCATTCACAATACCAGAATAGTCCTTACGTACTGACATATCGTAGACAAGCTTTGATCAAGTATAAATATACCTTCAGTTTCTTTGTATTTAGGGACGCCTGTTAATATATACCACCAACGCCATTCAGGAGCTGGAGGTACTATAGTAGCTCGACATTTCTGACAGCCACTACAAGCATCTTCATAAGTAACGTTAGCAATCAAGTCCTCGGGTGATCTCTGTTTTTTATCAACTATATATAGATTTTTGAACAGAACATACTTTGATCATTTCCCATATATAGGCCCATCGTCTTTTGAGCGGGCCAAAATACCATAACTTCTTCCGCTTATCTTCTATGTACTTAAACCAACCGCCGCTTACATCGGTTACTCCATATGTTGGTTGACCCTCGGATGATTCCTGATAAATTAAGTTATTACTGTGTTCAGTCTCTATTGAAATACCAAAGAAAACTCGAAAACAGATAGATCCTGTTTTCTCTCTTCGATTACAGCCATAGCACTTTCACAAGCAGGTCGAGCATCGTTGTTAACTAATAATGAACATTGAAATAATAAGCATCCTACTGATTATGATACCAAATACACTAGGTACTAGCCTCTTTAAGCCTACATTATCATAACCACCAGGGAAAACACCTACAGGAAGTGCTGCAGATTCTCTGGAAAGATAATTGAACACTCAAATTAAGCATTTGATCCTGAACCTGTTTCTGAAAATTCCAGTAACAACACGACCAACCGTGCCATCACCTCCAACAATGTATATAGCGTCAGCTTCCTGGGTGTCAACAGCAGCAGCTAAAGCTTCCAGTTGAGTTTCGCTTTCTGACTGCAGAGTAACCCTTAGTAGTTTATGAAACTATATTACAAACTTTTATTATGTCCACTTGTATGCCAGCTAGATGGAATAAAGGTAAAACATTTTTCTTGAAATCATCAAAACAGCCCCTTTCTTTAGCAGAAACGTTGGCCAATACACATACCCGTCTTGGTCTATCTTCAGCTGAACAAAAAAACGTTGTATACTCATACGGTTCCAGAAAAAATAAACACAGGATATACGCAACTATTCAACCATGAGAATGAAAAAACCAAAAAAAGATTTAACTTGGAACTTGCGTTCACGGTTAATGGCAGAAAAGGAGCTGAATTACCTGATTGTGGTTTCTGGCCGTACTTGAGAGCACGTTCCGCATAGACGGTTCGGAACTTATTATTTCTAAAGTCAAATGTTCAACATTTTTCTGGAATATAATAAATACTGATTCCATTTCGCAGCAAAGTCAGCTCCCAAATAAAGCACATAAAGCCCGAAAGCAGTTTTCTTTTTGTGTTCCCATAAGGTTTTCCCAAATTTAGTTATACGAGCAGCCATATATCCTATGAATATCATGATATCAATATAAATTCAAATGTTCACGAAGGTACAATAGTCGAAGTGACAACCAGAATGAGCTCTATATGAACAAACGTGTTATTTTAAAACATAATGAACCCGTAAACATAAGCAGAAAACAAAATTAAAGCAAAGTTGTAAAAGCGTTTACAAAAATAAAGAAAATTCAAAATTTTCCATCAAATTTAACTTTGTGAAGGACTAATTGTAGAGCGGTCACAGCGTCTTCTTTACTGTCATGACCATTGACTGAAATCATCGATAAGTAAGATAGAGATAGTTAAACATACGATCTTCCTGGATAACTTTGTCTAATTTATCTAGAGCAAGTTCTTTTAGTCCTCTTTTCTTTTCATTTTCAGTCCTAGAATAAAGATATATGGGTTTATAGAAACTTCGTAGTATTACCTATGAGGAAATAATATCGCAGTATCTACTATTGTGCTATGTACAAGTTTCATGGCTTTCATATCACTTTCCAAACTGTGCCCAATCAGAACAGTTTTTGAGTTGATGAAGTCAAACATGCGTTTTCTAATCTTAAAACATACGGTTGCAGAAGTTACAAGTCTCCGCGAACTCACATTTTCCAGGGAATATTTAGCATTTTTGAGATCCGATTCAGTAATACCAGAAAATGTTGTGTTATAATCAATTACAAAATGATCAGGCTTTATGAGTTCGTCCAGCACGACCTGAGAGAATGTAATACTTGTCTGGAAGTCTGGTAAGCGTACCGATTCTTTCATGTCAACCATTGTCACTCGTGCGAGATGAGGTCCCCAAACGGTATAAACCATTTCACAATCTATCGCATACACCTTAACAACTGGTGTAGACTCATTGTTCGAACTGTTTCTTACTCTTTTACTGCGAGGATCGTTTTCAGATCTGGGCCTTGGAGTTTTCATGAAGTTTTGCAGATCTGATACCCTCAAAGTGTCTGACACATGGTAGTCGGCCATTTGACATCCAGCTTCTCCGTCATCACTGCCGCAACAAGGATAGGTTGACTCATTGTTACGTCTTTCTGAAATGGAGCCATTGAATCAAGGAAGTTATATGCAACGAACTTCCTGGCATCCGTGATTTTCCTCTTAAATGATAAACACAAGTAGCTTTGACTGGAATACCCTTGGGAGAAACTCTATATTCCTTGCAACAACGTACGCAAAACCTCTCAACATCTGAAGTTTCCTACATAAGATAACGGATATAAAAAAAATATAAACCTTCTTTCACGGCAAAAACTTTTTTAGACTTCTTCTTGTCGTAGTAGCTTGGTTCAATGAATACAGAGTCAGGAGTGTTACAATAGGGATATCTAACAACAAGTTTTCAAGAAAAACGAGTAGAAACTCACGAATTGTTTGTTAATTGCTCGGCACTTAGAAGATAATGCTTGGTGAGGGCATTATAAAGGATTTCTTCCGTTATCTCAGTTTCTTTTTTAGGACCATTCGCTCCAACTGTTATTAAATCTACCGACTTCCCGGCTAGACAACGAAAGTGAGATACAGCTGAAAGCGAGTTCATATACTGGAACCAAGAAATATAGTACTTTTTTTCGGTTGAGTAGCTTTTTTATTATTTTCTGAGAAATCCCGCAACCGTTTCAAATTATTCACTGCAGCTATCTTATACCCATGCTTATGCTGAACTTTGTCTAACGTGCTTTTCTCTTCAATTGCTGCCTGAAGTAGGAAATACGTAATGAGACGCTCCTATTTTTAAGGCCTACTTGAGTGAGAGCATCCTCATCCGACATCATCTTGCACAACTCAGCATAAAACGTTAGCAAGTATTGATTTCGGACAGTCAAAGGTATTTTCGAATTAGATGAGTCTAACAGTGTGGGAGTCAGTTTCTTGCTACTCTGAAGAACTCGATATATTTCTGCTTGGAAAACCTCGGCACTTACGGAAGATGTTGAAGCCATGCGTCGGGATTCTGAAGCCGTTGAAGTTGACGTTTTCGTTTTTGATCCATAAATTTGTTCCAAAGTTCTGGGAAGCTGAAAATTTATCGAGATTATGATTGTAAATCTGATCAAATACCTTTGAATTAGGATTATTAGCCGACTCAGCAGCCTTGCGTTTAGCTAGAGCCTCTTGCCGATTCTTCAACTGCTCAGCAGGAGTTGGAAGCCGTCGTGCGGGAGGCTTGACAACACGACTAATGTTCTGAAAGAAGATATAAGCCTACATAGAGAGAACTTACTTCAGCATTGGGTTTAGCGATTCTCTGCTTAGCAGCCACGATTTGATCAATTGAGAGTCCAATTCCTTTTTCTTGCTGTCTCATTTGGAGAGCAGCTTCAGAAGGTTTGTTAATCACAGCCGGAGGCTTGGGTTGAGGTAGTGTCTCCTTTTCTATTTTTTTCACTTTCTCCTTAACCCTCTCAGAAAAGAGTTTCTTAATCGGAAACATACTTGATATATGAAATTTTTTGTACCTCTTGTAGTTGCCTTTGCTTCTCCGGGTTTTCCACTTTAATCATTTTTGCAGGAGCAGGCACACATAGAACTTCATCATCCTAGAACATATTAGATGATTGAAAAAGCAAAAAATCACTTACATCACTAAACAGTCCTTCCTCAAGTTTTCGGGATTTTTTTTGTTTGTCATGATCCTTCTTTCGCTTTTCCCTTTCCAGATCTCTCCTCTGCTTTTCCTTCTCGAGCTCTTTCCTTTTAGCTATTTCTTTCTCTTTCGCTCGTTCTTCTCGTAACTTTTGTTTAGATTCTGCTTTCTCTATTTCGTCAATCTTTCTTCTTTTCTCTTCTTCCTTTTGCTTCCTCAAGTCTTCCAATGGTGTAGGTGTATACCCCACAACACTAATTGCTTTAGGCTAAAAAGAACAGTATCAGTCTATGCAGTTACCACAAACCTTGGGGGGAGCAGCCACTTCAGGAACTGAAGTTTCCTTGGCAGCCTTAAAAAGCAGTGGAATGATCTTCATCATGTATATCTTTACCTGTTGCCTTAACTTTTTCAACCTTTCTATTTCAGCATCAATTGAAGCAACATCTTGAAGAGAAGCCTAAATGAGCGTGTTTATCAAAATCGAATTTTAGCCAACTTTAGGAAGAGGGAGGCTATTCAACTTGGCAATCACTGTCTGCTTAGGCTCAGGTGGTTTAATCTTCTCCTCTATGATCACTATGTCATCCTGAATAACTTGGATTTGACCTCCAGAAAATAAATATGAACACTCACATCTTCTAACTCCTGTTTCACGGCTTTTGGATATGGAGAAGGTTCCGGGGAGACAGGGCTATAAGCTGACATAGACTGAGGAATAGATATGGGACTAAGAGATGTGGATGGACCATTCGAAGGAGAGTGGTAATCGTTCTCAGGATTCATTGGGACTGCAGACATAGCCCCGCTATATGTCGGAGCGACATAACCTTAAAAATAAGAAAATCAGATGAAATATTATGTATCAAACCTGCGTAACCTGTCGAAGTAGGTTCGACAGGAGCATACTGAGAGGAGATGTTATAGCTATCATCAGCAGCAACATAAGCATTATACCCGTAAAAACTAGGAGAATGAGATCTCACACTACTATAAACGAGCTGTTAATTAAGCGGTATAAAGATAACATACTTAGAAGATGTGGCTTGCTTTGAAGATGCCCCGGTGTTCTGCTTTGAGTGACCTAAACCAACTAAAAACAAAAATTGAAACATAAAAAATGAAACAGACCTTCATGCCAAAAAACACAGTTAGGCCTGTCACAATTCGGAATTGGACATAAGAGCTCCTTAAAGAGTCCTGTTGTTTGAAACATGAACTATTTCATTGAATTCTAGGTTCCAAACTGTTTGATGTTTTATTTAAATCTAGATATAGCCCAGAAATACCGATCCGTCGGGAGAAATCAACGAAGAAACTATTAAAAATTTTATAAAAAACTATAAAAAAAATCTTTCAAATTTGAACTAGCAACATACAGGGAGTGTAAAACGAGTCTTTAGCTCAATCTAAAAACTTCAATGGTAAATTTCCTTATTAGTCTTAATTTTTTCTATTAATATTTGTACAGTTAATTATGTAATCACAGTGGGGGCCTTTCTTCCTGTGAATTGTTCCATTTTGCATAAATCCAACGCAATCAAAACCAATGGTCTCAATAAATCCTGTAAATAAAAACACAATTTACCAATATACGTGAATGCACTACTTGGGACGGCGAGAACAACTTCGATTCGTCAGTGTTAGATACGTAAGAATCTACGTAGAGCCGGATTGTGGCTCCAGCGGAACCTGTTCCAGAAAGTCGGAATACTAACCGACTTCCGTCTTCGAAAACAACACGAACACCTTGTTTAGTCGCTAAAGATCCATCAATTGGATCAACATATTGGAAATTATCGGCCAAGGAAACCTATTTTAGTTAAGTTTTTGTCAGAAGATCATGAAGTACCTTATAGGTCACATTATTTGCTGATAGTGGTCTTCCAACGAAAGCGGGTAATTGGGCTTCCAAGAAAGTCATTAATATGTTGGCTCCGGCAGAATCTACATTTTCGTAGTCATATCTACAACACTATTTAACAGAAATTGAGAATGAGTTTACCTCGTAAAGACATTTCTTCCATATTTTTTCCAGTGAGCTCTTACAATGTCCTCAACTGATTGTCTCTTCTCTGCCAGGATTTGGAGCCAAGCAAGCATGGCCCAAACACCGTCTTTCTCCCTTGGAGAAAATATCAAAAACCCCGAAGAAAAAGCTCACCTTATATGATCACTTCCTGTGCCAAATGATTCTTCACCGCACAAACACATTCGACCGGCATCCATGAGATTTCCAAAATATTTCCATCCTGTCGGTGTTTCGAAAATCTAAATAAAATGGAAACGTAGTCTGTGAAACATAGAAGTTTCACCTCCAGTCCTTTAGCCTTGGCAACCAAATCAACAGCACCGGCGGTGGGCATAGAACGAGCATATCCTGAGAGGAAATAAAAAAGTGTTTTGAACTAGCTCAAAGGTCTTACCTGATACTTTCTTGTTTCTGAAATAGGGGATTGATTCCAAGTTATCAGCGATTACCGCCAAAGAATCACTAGGGGTCACGAAGAAACCATTTTTTCCCAGAATCATGTTGCGATCCTATATCAAAAGATCATAGCTAAGTTGAACAGTAAAAATATACTCCATCTCCGTCGAAAGCAGCGCCAAAATCGTGCTCACCAAGCTTGAGCTGATCCACGAGTCCTTTAGCATAAGTGAGATTTGGATCAGGATGTCCACCACCAAAATCAACTTTTGGAACAGTTCTGTAAAGAGAAGGAACGATACAATTGTAAACAGCGTGCAAAGCAAAGACTGAAGGACGTTGCGAAATAAGAAAACTCATGCCACTGTCTTTTGTCGTTTTTTTATCAGATGTAATGAAAAAACAGAAAAGATGGGTTTGATAAACACAATGAAGAGAACAGAACGCGTCATGACAATTGTGAAATAGAACTTTGCTTGTCAACAAAGAAAAACGAAAGTCACATTACGTTTTATGTTCGAACAAGTACTTACCTCAATAAATTTTTACTAGAACATCCCAATTCATCACAAAGAATGGTCGAGATGTATGGACCTGTAGCTCCGTGCATAGAATCGATAAGAACATTGAATTGACCTCCTGAGAGGAAGGACTTGATCTAGAAAGAAGGACATTACGAAATAAATTCATTGCGGAAACCTTATTGAAATCAAAAATGGTTTTCATTAAGTTAACATAGTCTTCCACGGAATCGATGACGTCAACAACAAACCTGCCCACTCCTTCGATGTTGTACTCATAACTTAAAAGTTTGTGCTCCCACGTTTAAAACATTACTGTTTACCTTCCGATTTGTGTGAAATCACACTGTAAGTCAGTACATATGGCATAACTGGAAATCTTCGTTGTAATGTTGTAGATGGCATTGGTGACCTAAAGATAAAAAATAAAATAAACAGTTACACTTTGGAAAACAAACCGCATCTGGAGCAGGTCCACCGTTTTCGCAGTTGAACTTGATTCCAAAATCTCCTTTTGGACCTCCTGGGTTATGACTAGCAGTCAGAATTATTCCTGAAAGTAATTATTTTACAGCTGACTCATCAATAGTTAGAAACCTCCATCAATTTTCTGTCCTTTCCACCCTTTACGGATGAGATGGGACAGAGCAGGTGTGGATAGAAATCCATTTTGCCCTACAACTAAACGTGCTAACTGAAGAACATGAATTAATATTCCTTGTTAAAGTTTGAATATTCACTCCATTAGCAGCGGCAATTTTGATGATGACATTAACAGCCTCCATTGACAAATATCTTCCATCACCACCTACAACGAGTGTAGCGCCTTTTTTGCTGGTCGAGAGTCCTCCATCAATAACAGCTTGTACGAAGTTTTCAGTATAGTGTTCTTGTTGGAACTCAGGAACCTTATAAGATGGTTTTTCTTGATTTCTCTCAAATTACTTACTCGCTTACGAAGACCACTAGTACCAGGCTTTTGTCCCTCGAAAGGTTTCGTAGAGATATGAGACACTTTGAGCATAACTAAAAAGGTTATTGTATAACGCAATTAAAAACAACATGAAATTAAACAAAACGTGGCAAGAACAAAACGAAATATCGATAAACTCATAAATGAAAGAGCGACAAACTAGGCATGGAATTGATTGCTTGTAGTGAAGTAAGACCTGTTGGTTAGAAAATTCAAGACTATTAATACATATACATACTGTTATCATTCAAAAAACAAATCGTCTCTAGATCATTGATGATGATTATAGTTTGGCGCGCAACGTATTGAAAAAACTTAATTATCACACATGCTACAAACGAACTACATGCCAAGGTGAAGATGAAAATATCTGTCGGAAAAAGATAGATAAATGAGCGACATTTGTCTCTTGAGCTTCCACTATTTCTCTGTGGAGAAATACATACGACGACGTTTTCATCCTCCTCCTCAACGAAAAGATCATTTTAAACAAAGGAAAATAAAGGAAGAACAGACAAGCGCAAAGAAACACAAAGTATAACAAAGAGATTTGAAAAATGATGAGCAGGGCGTGGTTTGTATGGCAAAGCAGACTCAACTTCATGTAAAGCCAGGACTAGAAAGTTCAAGACGGCAAGCACTTTATATGGAACCCTTGTTTGCTCTTGTTTAGAAAAGAGAGCAATTTCTATAGAGAAGTTATACCTTAAATCGTCAATTCGGAAATTTGATAAGATGTCGAGGTCATGTTATCACTTTAACACAATCTCTGATTAGATATTTCAAAAAAACTTAAGAGACAAACCATAAGTTTGCACAATGAAACAAACAAAGTTCAACATCTGCAAAAGAGATATTGATACATTTCTTTTCACCTTAACCAGCTCAAATACAACCGCATCTCTTCTGTCTCAAATTAAAAATGAAGTGAAACTTCACGTCATTTTTCACGTGATTCAACTTGTTTAGTTCAAAACTTCAAGTGTGAATTTCCCAACAGCATATTTGATAATCTGCGGTTTGTCTCATGTCAATAAGTACATTCTAATTAGTGTATGAGCTAGAAGTATTTCTCCCTGAGAAATCTTGTTAATGTTTCAGGAAAATCAAAAAAATACGATTTCTTTCCGGATACCGTTGATATATTCATATTTTTTTCGAAGATTTCCACGTGAAAACATTGTATTTTGAAGTTTGATCAGATTTTATTTATTGCAGAGAATAGTTGTTATATATTGAGAAATGTCTTGAGAAGGCGTCTAAGATGAAACTAATCTTTCGGACTAAACCAAAAAAGAATTGAACATGAGACTCAAAGAAGTTAACGAAAGTCAAACTAAGACTAAGCGAATGAACGTGTTGGTCGATACTTTTTTTTCTTCAATTCTCTTCGTATTTGTTACATTTACTGAACTATATATATGTTTGCTACGTCAGTTCATGTCTTTTCTTGTAAAAATGAGAATAGAACGATTTGCTTGTGTTAAGACACTCAAAGCGAGACAGCTTCAATAAGCATGCAACCGATACAGGTGATTTATGCAGAGAAAATGATTGCAGCGCGACTTTTCACGTTCCCAAATATTCAAATCACATTGACGTGAATGATTTTTTTAGATTGGAGCCTCCAATTCTGTTTTTCAATAACTTTTAATGTCTTCGTGCGTGTGTGTGTGTGTGCGTTTTACTACTGAAGCAAGTCTTATAACCAATTTTCATTCGCTCCCGCATGTGAGCAATGATTTATTTTCAGAATATGATTTAGATTGTTTCAGACACCGCAATTTTTGATTTTAAAAATAATTCAGTTATCCGAGTTTTGAACAAATCATTTTTAAGATATTATAAAAGCACAAGAGCGCATGAAGTAAAAAAATTGTTTGTGAACATAAAAATTTCATTTAGAATCGAATGAAAATGCAAATGATTAAGCATTCGACATATCTTTTGCAAATCATTTTCTTTACATTAGTAGGTTAACACTCAGCTTTCTGCAACTTTTGAAAGAGAGACAATATATTGGCTGTAAAGGTTTTATTTTGACGTTGTAAGCAATTCTTAGCCTGAAACTCTAATTGAAGTTACAAAAAAACGTAGTTGCTTTTCATTCTTGTCAATTCACAATCAACACTTCTAAAGTAGGAAATGTTGGAAATTCGCTGTGTATTATGTCTTTCCATCGTCGTAAGTCCACCTGGTAATCACGTCATTTATAAGGAGTGAAAAGTCATTTCAGACTTGGAAATAAAAATGGAAAACAAGCAGGAAACTAACAGCAGTTTCTAATTCTGCTTGATTACTCTAATTATTCCATTTATTTTTAACAAAATAGTTGTTCTAATCATTTGAAAGCCATTCGTTGTTGTATGTGTCGCCCGTTACCCAGTTTATGGCAGATGAGCTCTTAGACTTATGAACATTATCAAAACTTTCGTTTGTGAAACCTTCGTTTTCGCACAAATTGTGTTTTGGTTATCTCTCAACCAACAACATTGTCTTTTCTCACAATATGAAAACTGACTTCATGTAAGTATGTTTTTCATACCGGAAGTTCTAAAGCATTCCTAATGAAATGCTGCAGATATGTACTTCGAACTCATCTAATTGTTTGTAACAAAAGTTTTGTTCGCGACATCAAATCAATGACTACTACTAGTTAAGATGATCAGCAGAGCAGTTTCGGTTTGAGATTCAGAAATGGTAGACGTCATGAGTCGTGTGAGCCGAGTTGAGCTAACTTTCCTGAATTTTTAATCCTTTTCTCATTCAAAATTGAGTTAGAAACTCTTCTGTCTTTCTTTATTATTAGACGTTTTTGTTTCTTGCGATATCCGAAAGATAGATTGAAGGCTGAAAATCGAAAAAAATGTTTTCAGCTGTCCATTATGGCAGTCTGAGCCAAAATTTAACTATTGTGGCTCGAATTTCCTCTTCGTGTTTTCCTACTACAACTCACTGTTTTTATTGGTTTTTCTTTATAATAGTTTAATTTTGTTTTAAGAGAGACTATCGCGATAACTTTTTTCTTTTGAAGTTTGTACTAATGTCGATTGATTTCAAAAACTCGCCTACGCAAGTCTAACTCTCCCAGCGAAAGTCGGATTGCAAGATGTTCTTTCTCATATGATTGGAAATTATTATTGTTTTGCTCAAAGTTGATAAGAAACATTTGAGATTTAAGAAAATTCCGACTATTTGGATGAATTATTATGGACTGAATGTGAATGTGAGAGTTTTGTATTCCCAAGCTACATTTGGATGTTCGACGTTATTGTTCATTTTTCAATTCAATTTAACAAGACTTTCGAAATAAATGTCTCTTATTAGAATATAAAAAACTATTGTTAAAGCAATCAAGGCACAAAGGTTAATCATCTCTCTTCTCCTTCCAAATGCGGTAAAAAAAAATTGTGTGAGAACAAAGAGAGAGTATAGGCTTGTTTGCTCAATTCGCTTTCTGAACATTCTGTTGCTGATTGTCAGTCATCGGATTTTATTTTTCTCTTCTCTTCTAACCTCTCAGATGGCCCTTCATCCTTTCCATTTCATCCCCTCTCTGCATGTCATCATTCGGTTCTTATTAGTAAATTTGGATACTTGATGTGTCATTGTCAACGCCTTAGTGTTTCATTCATGACTTTAAAACAATATGAATGAATTCTCTCCCTTCATATCAAATATTCTCAGCCTCTTTATTCGGACATATCTGATTCCTTGACTACTCCGTCATATTCGAATTGTATCTGAAGACTAACTATTACGAAACCTTTGAACTGAGATTTGTATTTCCCCAAATCCATACTTCCCTTCTTAATTTAAATCATCGAAATGACTCTATCTTAATCTTGTTGAAGTACAATTTGCTTGAATGAAAGTATTCGACCAGAAATCAAATACTCACAAATAGTTATAATTCCCATGCTGACCTTTTCCATCACGTCATTACATTTAAATTTTTTTGAAACTCATTAATGTTAACAAAACAATATTTCTTTGAAATGGTCGCTAAATCCATGTTTTTTAAAAAAGCGATTTTGAATTGTAGTCGTTTGCAGAATAAAGACTATATCAGCTTTTTGAACACCTGCCTTCTTTAGTGAATGCAGTATTGAAATTATCTCCTTTTGTGTACTCCTTCATTCTCACATAATAGAAATTCACATTCGAAAACATGTACCGTATATTACGCAGTCATGTATCACACGAAAAGCGCGCCAAAAAATTCATTTTAATGATATCTTTCCAATGAGCGGTCGCATTCTTACGAGTACTGCGCGAGTAGTGAACAGTTGATAATTAATTCAATTAATAATTTCATCACTCTTCATTAATTTTTTTAAACACAACAATCGAATGCTTCAAACCTCTGAATTTTAATGAGACAGCTTGGGTGAGAGCTTTTCCGCCCTCAGTTGGGTATACCTCAATCGATATATCTGATTAATGGTTAAAATACTGATAGTATTTGATGAAAAAGTGAAGATACAGCGATCTAGATTGACGATGACAAAAGGTCTGATAAATGCTTCAACAACAAGTCATGGATAAGAGCCGCATTTATCTAGAGGCAAGTGTCTGCTAGACGGTGGGCAGCTGGTACCTGCCATTAGTACCGCATCAACTGGCGGAACGTAGGGTCTCGAACTGCCTCTTTAATTTTTAGCATTTTTTTCTTGTTCATTCTGTTCATCAGCCAAGTAATCATACAACATTCCTTCATAACCTGAATGATTATAGTATTAGATATTTCCAACCTTTTCATCTATTGCCTAGGCGACCATCTGATTCGCATTAGAGGTATTATTAAGTCAATTACCTGGTGATATATTAACTATTTTTCTGCGAAAATTAAAAAGCCTGCTGACCTATTCCCTTTTTTGAAACGTTCCAAAGAGTCGACCTTTAAGCTTTGTAAAATTAGCCAAATAAGGATTGACAGAGTCGTCTTTTTGCGAGAACATCATCGTCGCATTTTTTCAGCCATCAAATATTCTCGATTTTGTCGCCAAACAATACATTTTCCCAGCCTTCTTTTCTGGAAATGAATTGAATTTTCCACTAATTCAAAACAATACTTTCTCTTTTCTCTATCGTTTCTCCTTTTCCTACAATCTGTGCTCTGTGCATTTCTTCTAACTTCAGCAGCAGGTTTATAGAGTAAGATATAGGCTTTAGTAATGATTAAATAAGTTTTGTAGGTGGAAGGAAAAACTCATAAACTTCGATTTGCTTGAAAGGTTCGCAGAAAAGGCATGTACCTGCTAGAAACATCTTGTTCTTACAACATTAAATTATAATTGTTTCTATAGAAAGTCTTTTTTTGTTGTTCTTGTCGTTGCTAATCCCAGTTATTTTCCTCGAAAATCGAACTGATCGTGTTGCTATGCTTTCTACCTAAGAACACACAGTTTTCCTACTTTTGGATGTTGTTTTCAATGATATTTGATCACTTGGTTGTTCTTTCATTTTTCTAAATAATGTACATCCCGTTGTTGATTCTCAACAGAATCTCCCATCAACTATAATTTTCTTCTCATTCTTAGTTTCTTTTCTTTCACACTCTTCTTATAACACGTTTGGCAGTTCAAAACTATTTTTTACATTTGCACAATCTTTCCGGAGAACATGTTCCAATCAAGAACTACTAGCTCATCCACAACGTTTTCTCCACATTGTTTTTCATCTGAGAAGTTGACATGAATACCAACTTCGACGTAAAAAGTATTTGAGCCGATGAGCATATCTGACGGTTCATTTTCCCTGTTCGTTTGTGCTTGGAAACTGTTATAATGTAAAGTTTTTGAATATATTATAGAGATACTACAACTCTTGTATTGATATTTCTCTTGATGAAACAGCTGGTCAGTCTAATAATAACAAAAGATCGCAGTAAATGTAACTTGGCACATTCCTCTTCTTTTGATTAGATTTCATGTGTGTTCTCTCCTTAGATTCGGTTTTTACTTTCACTCGTTAGGTTTGTACTCTCTGTAGTTCTCTGACAAACCTTCTCTTCTTTTTTTAAACAAAATGATATCATAGATGTAGATGTATGTCTTTGTGGAAGTCACAGCTCTAATCCGTTGATATCTTTGTAATTTTGACATTTCGCTCTTAATCCACGTCCTTCCCTTCCCTACTCTCAATTTGTCTTCGCCATATTTTGACGATTCCGTCAGTTCCTTCTTCAATTCGGCTCTGTTTTACTTTTCTAAAAAATAATGTTTAAGAGCTACAGCATGAGTGAGGCTCCGGACCAACAAGTTTGTTTTTCGAACTGTTTCTCTTATCGTTCCGTATTTAGGTGAGGAAAATCTTGGTTCTTCCCACGGATTCCACTCCTCGACTACACGAAACCGTTAATGATCAGATCAAAGGCTTTCTTGGGTTTTTAGAAATTAGAATCAAAGATTATCAAGACGTATGTCGTTAAATACCTGACTCTCATCTCTTCTCTCCTCACTTTCAGGCAATCCTACAAAACTCTGCTGCTGTTTTTGCCGTGAACTATGTTCAGAATTATTTTATTTGCTCACAATTTTCCGTGGAAATCGCCCGCTTATGGGAAATGATGAATGTCAAAACTCAAGCTGAATTCGACAAAGCGATCGAAGCTATGAAAACAGAAAGTGAAGAAAATGGTAATAATATCCAAAATGTGTCGAGCTCCTTTGAAATTCTCATCTGTCTTCTAATAAGCGGTCATTGGATATTCTATAGTTCAATGATTGGAATATAAAAGTCGTTCATACATTAACTTTGCCGTCGGATCTACGCTATTCTGTGAAAATCGGATTTTTCGAACTATTAATGAAGTTTTTGAGCCATCTTATATTCACTGAAGAAATGAGAATGCCCTTCAGTATTATACATGATCTTTCAGGTGCCCTCATCAAGCAATTGGAAGAAACTTTAGCTGTGTATGATGACCTTATGTATAGTGTGGACAAGGAACTAGATGAAAAACTGGGTCCTTGTCCAGTAACAGGTTTGTTTTTCTTCGCTCATTTCGTATACATCTTTAACTTCAGATGATGACGTATCCGATCGAGGAGTTCCTAATCAAACTATCGGCCATTATTGCAAAGGAAGTGCTTTTGAGCTAGTCCTCATAGTCATAGTTAGGTGAGAAAAGCTTGGCATGTATGCTCTGACTCACATCACGTTCAGATCTTTTTCAACGCCTGAGATTAATCAGCACATTTTGGCTTTGTATAACAAGATGTCAGAGTTGAGGAAAATGGGTTGTGATGTTTCTCTATTAACGAAAGGCCCTCCTATAGGTAGTCTCTGGCTTTCAATGCAAATCCTAAATGTTTGGCTGCAGGAGGTTCCTATATAAAGTTGATTGGAGTTCCTTTTCGAAGGTTATACGATGATAACGATGCTTTGAATGAAATTCGGGCTCACAGGAAATCTGCTGTTAGGGTGGCAGGCTGGAAGGGATTAGCTAAGGTTCGTTCTCATCACGATAGTTTAAACATTGAAATTTTTGAGATGATGGAGGTTTCTTTGAATGAGGCAGGTAGGCCGAGAACAGCAGAAAACAAGGATAACAATGAAGATGAAACGTCTTATGTAATTCAAATGGTATTTTCTTGTTATTTTTTTTGGCATATAATGTCTGTTAAGGGCGGAACCATTCTTGCCAATCGCGAAGGAGAGGTGTTGTATAAATATGTAGAAGATGAGAAAAGCACCTGGCCTACAGTCGAAACTTTAATTTCAGAAGTAAGAACATCATGTAGTTTCAAAACTCTATATCCCGAACTTTAGGTTAAAAAGCATAGCACAAATGGCAGTAAATCTAAGTCAGTAGCCCCTTCTAACAAAGTCGAGTCTGAGATTTCGGCTTCAGTAGAAAAAACTCCAGAAAAGGAAGACAAGAAATGTTGCACAATACTATGAGCGGAATTATCATAATTAGTTAACTGGAAAGAATTCCAATAATGCTCGTCCCAAAGAAATAGAAAACGTATAAGATTTTAGCAAATGTACCCTCATCGGTTGATCTCTAAGCTATAATACTAATAATCGGGTACAATTAAAACTCTTTTGCTTGTTCTAACTAACAACTCTAAACTTTGTAAAATAATTTTTAATTCCAAATAAATTATCATAATATTTTGGAAGATTACTAATAAGTTGGAACTGAATTATCCAATGTGAGACACTGTCCCAACACAACCGTTCTCATTGTAATTTCTTGCAAAAATGATACATATATGTTAATTTCGCCATTATCGATTAGCAGACGGTTGTAAATATCTACGATACCGTTTGATACTAGAGTACTTGAAGTTTGTACTTTATTGGAAAAAACATAAGCAGTTCCCAAAACTTAAAAGTTTATGTGAACAAACAAAACAAATTATTTCTATTTTGTAGTATGATTCTAGCAGTGCTATGGGAAGGTCTGGAAGGCATTTTGCAGACGATTTGTTTGTTATAGAATTGTTTTCAATACTAATCCAGATATATTGGAAACGGAATAAATATGCACTGTGTTTAACATTTATGTGTCCATTTGCGGTGTACTTTTTTTTGATTTTCATTGTTTTTCTAGTTTATGAGGACACCCACTAAACATGAGAATAAGGCAAAGCTTGATGTCCCTCAGAATTATGCAGTATGTATAGAATCGTTTGGTAAGAACCTCGATATTCTCCCGAATACACTAGGACTGGAAGTTGGCGACGGTTTTTGCATGAGTGTAAATGGAGAGGAAAAATATTTGAAGGTAATTTCTTGAGAAATTCAGATTTAATGATTCGTACAACAGGTATTATCTATCCAATCAAATGAACAGAAAGCCAAGTACTTAGCCAAACAGCTTATTCATCCAACTAACGAACTGTTCGTAAGTCTAGTTCACTGTAATTTTACTGTTTATTTAGGATTCCGAACTATTCGGATCATTGAACAACAAGAAAAATAACTGTGGAACTTCTGCTCCCAAAAGTCCTGTAGAATACGTTACGCAATTGAAAAACATGAAGAGAAAGAATGCGGAAACACAAACACGATCATGTAACGTACGAAACTTAGAAGTGCAGACTGACAGGATGTCTCAGAAGGTGAAGGAAGTTGGGACTCAAATTAACGGATACGAAATACCTCTAGAGAATCAGGTAGTTATTCCAATATGTGCTGTATTTTAGTTGATTGCAGATTGAAAGCTCCGAAGACCACAGTGATCTCTTAGGTAAGTGAAGGAATATATGTGAGCCAGAAAGTCTGTCTTTTCAGAGGGTTGTACTAGTGAAATAACAAACGAACAGGTGAGCTATGTTGGGGTCTTCGTCTTTTGATGCTTTGTAGATTGCTGCGTTGGCAGAATGTTTGAGAGATATACCTAACGGTCAAGTATATTTTTATTTATATATGAACAAGCGTTTGTTACCAAAATCAAGGGGTAAAGATGCTATTCAAATTGTATAGAAGAACTGTTTTAACATATAGAATTGTTATTTTGCAGAGAAAATGGATTGACGAAAGGCAAAAGATGCATTTTCCAGCATGTTAGTTCAAATTCCAAATTCGTTCTCAATACTACATTCGCATTTTCTAGAATTTCATATATATATATATACAGATATATATATATATATATATATATATATGCGTTTAATCAGTTGTGTTTTTATAAATTTGAGTCATTTCCAAACAGTCTCATACAGAGTATCAATGCTGCAGCTTTTCCAATTTAATACTATGATGTTTTGAAATTTGAATAGCTGAGGAATGTAGGGATATAGTTAATCAATGGTGGAACAGCCTTCTGGTTGACATAAGAACATTACTGGTCTGATAAACGTCGAGGAGGGGATATGTGATCATATTCCTGTACTTACTATTCATTTTGAAGTCTTAGGATGTATCACTATAGATATCAAATTAAGACACTCATCGTACAAAGACTAGGGGTTAGACCTTGATAGCAAGAGGATGATGATTGCGTATAATCCTTCCAATTGTTATTTTTGTATTTATCCAATTGCGGAAGAGATTAGTGTTTTGGATATTGTTTTATATCATACTGATGGCTCATCTTCGAGAGTTACCAAATAAAATTGAAGTTGAAATAGATCAGCCTTATTTAAACATTGCGGAATAGCTTTAGAAGTTTAGTTTTGAAGTAACGAGAGCCGAAAACAGCTGCAACCATAATTATCAGTTATGAAGGTCTTATTCGTTGTTTTATCAGTATTTCATATGTTATCCATGGTATTCGCCTTCACTCTCTATTATCCTGGCAAAGAAGCCGTAACACTACCATTAGAACGGTTCGTTCTTGCAGCCAGTGCACCTCAGGTAGTTCGTTTGCGTTACATGAAGTTAATGACTGTTTTGCAGGTTTCTCTCAACGGACAGCAGCATCAACCGGAAACCCAACAGCCTTCCAGCTCATCGTATTATCAATATTATAAAGTGTAGAATGCATGGAATGAATTTTGATATATTTCAGTTTCTATTTGTTTTTAATAATCAACTTCCCACAAATGATTCATCAGCCTTATCTGTGATGACGTGCTTGTGTACGGAACAGCTTTTCAGATGTACTTTAGATAATTTCTTCCTTATTTCGCGAAGAAAAGCGAATACTTTTCAACAGTAGTCCAGTATGTTCTATGACAGTGACCAAATAAACAAACAAACAATTCAAATCCTTCCTTCTCGCCACGACTGCTATATAAACAAGGAAGAAGGTCATTTCACTTTGACGATCTAGTGGTCAATGAAGCTACGCTTTTGTTTCTTCGATTAATATTATTTCTCTTTTTCAGCTATGAAGCTTCTCATTCTCGTCCTTATATGTGGCATTGCCACAGCACAGTTTATGGATTATGATGAGTTCGTACCAGACAAGAACGTGAAAGCAAAAAAAAATAAGGTGCGGTGTTTTTTTTGTCTTTTTTTTATATTCTTGTTTAGGCTATGAAAGGAAGTAATATGGGACGTTTCGGGAAGTAGGTGTCCCGGTTCTATCGTTTGTTAGTTGGAAATTATTTAGGGGAAGAATGCCCATGCCCACATTCCTTGAAAACGCTACAGACGAGACAAAAAAGGAAGTTAGAGACATCTTGATGAATAAAGATCTGAGCCGCGAGGAGATTGATTCTAAAATTGAGCAGGTACTCAAGAAGGATCGCCCAGAAGTTCAAGTAAGACTTTTCTTGTATATTTCATGTATTTTTTACTGAAGGAAGCTTTCGAGCTTTTCAAATCCGAGGTTGAGGCTCGTAGAAAGCAAAGACTCCGTGAGCATGAGAAGAAGCGTGAACGACTTTCCGAGGATGCTCAACTTGCTGACAGTAAATTGATCGAGATTCTCGAGGTAACTGTCTTTTGTATATTATTTATAAACCTCAAGTTATTAAAGGATCCCACTCTTACAATGTCAGACCGTCACGAGAAAATGCGTCAGGTCTTTGAAGGGCTGTCAGATTCTATAAAGAAGGAACTGAAAAACATGCGCAAGGAAAAGAAGGAAAACAAAAAGTATGTTCATGAATTCATTACAAAGTCATTCATATTCTTTAACGCCACAGCACTTCCGTACTAGTAACTAATTGGTTTAATTATTCTTTTCTGTTACATAGTTTTTAGAGTGACGGAGAAATTTCGTGAAGTCGGTGAGCAAATAAGAGACATTCATATGAGAGTCCGCGAAGCAATCAGGTCGAGCAACCTTATCTAGTTCCTCGTTACCGATTTGTCGCTATGGATTTATATCACAAAAATGATCATAACGACAAGTCTTCTCCTTTCTACCCTGCTATATAGAAACCGTTTTACCTTTACTCGCACAACAAAACTAACTCGATCTTTTTTCAAATATTTGCATGTTGTTTTCTCATTATATTAACTTATTTCAGAAATGCCTTCAAGCTTGAGAATAGACCTATGCGTAGATTGAGGTACCGGCCAGAAGAGAAGATGGTTGAAACTCCAGCTGAGATAGAAACCAAGCCGATTCGTACCAGCGAAGATGGCCAATTCCTCGAAATCTAATTAAATTTATATATTATATATTATGGGTCGTTGGTTCCCAACTTTTCTTCAAAATCTCCTTCTCAGGAGCGCGTCATCACTCCCGAATTGTCTTTCATTTGATGTGTAACGATAAGCTCTCGGACAAAGCTTTAATATTTCCATACCTGCAGTCTGTCTTTTTGCTTATCGTTAACTTTTGAATTCTCAGTTAAAATCCTCAAAAGGGTTTGCTCACATTCAACTAATTTATCGATTCTTCATTAGTAATGTTATATACAGAAAAGGAAACAATTTGGCTTCACCTTAATCAAGGATAATGAATGAAGGCGTTTAAACCTCTTTCTTATTTTTAACCGTACTGTATTACTTAAAGTTTTGTATTAATGTTTAAATGAATCTTCTTCTTTTTGCAACATATTCTTCGGACATTGCAGCGAATAAAGCTGGACAGGTTCCTATAATCATGAATGCATGTTAACGTGCGTTACAACTATCTGTTAACAACCTTCGAATCTGATATTTGGGAGAGCTCTCATGCCAGTTTCATTGCAAATAAGAGTGAACATTCTGTAATAGGAAAATGAAATTCTCTTTCTCCATAACTCCATAAACAACCACACTCAGCGCGTTCTTTTTCAAAATGACTTAACGCGTGGCGTGGTGGAACTGTTATGCTAATTACCTTCTTGAAATTGTTTTGCATGATGGACAATCTCCATCATAACAATGAACGTTGCATCTATTGATAATGCATGAAATAACCTTAAGCATCAAAACTAATTGTTTTATATCTTTAATGGCTTTACCTTCTCAGAATCCTCAGATATGCATGTCTCAACGCAATTCTCTAACTTTGGGCATAGACCAGCTGAACAATGAAGTTAATAGAATAGCAGGATTGTAAAATCTTTACAAGTTTTTTCTCCTTGAGCCAATGCGTTCATTTGCTCCAAAGCATAATGACAAGCCTTACAAGATTGACACTCATTATTACATTTGGCGGCAATGCAAACTAGGTCAAAACTGAAAACGAAAAAAAAATCAGAATATGAAAACAACTAGTTTTATATGGTTGTATATCACTCTGAACATGTCGAGATCCAATCTTTTGTTTTCACCGAAAGCTTTCCTTAGAAAAACAGTCACATAACATACCGTTCAACAAGTTTTCCAAATAATTGGTCGCGTGGACTGCTTGTCACAATTTTATCAACAACTTCTGCAAAGAAAAATTTATCCGGTTGCTAATAAGCTTAAGCTCTCCAAGAGTTTATCTTGTGATGCTATCGAACCAGACATACCTTTATCAAGACATTTTTCTACAGCGCATGTGGTCAACACTCCGCATGGCTTAGATGCTTCAGTAGCATGGATAAACAACGACAAAAAGACCAATGAAAGTTTGTAAGCCATTTTAAGGTAGTTTTTAAGCTTATCAACAGAGAGCGGTAGATGTGGCGAAGATGCTGACTGCAATGAGATTTGGAAATGAAAAGCTTCTGTTCCTTCTCCTGTAGAAATCAAGGCGGGGCGTTCCAGTTACTAAATAAAACAATGCAATGAATTCATTGCTTTAGGCGATTGTATGACATTTACAAGTACAATAAGCTAGACAATGGTCGTTCTGCCAGCCATGTGCTTTATCTTCAAAACCATTTGACGAAAAGAGCTTCGTTCAACAATGCTAATGACAGAACCTTCTTATAATATATACAGCTTTATTATATGTATAATCTATAAAAAAACTTTAAAAACATCTAAAAAAATCTAAGAGAATATTTGAGATTCGGGCAAGTTAGAACATTAGCCAACATTGATATGTTGCCGAATAACCATTAGAGAAATATTCGAACATGGAAAGATGGCTTTACAATAGAAGCGAAAAGAAAAGAAAACTTAAAACTCAAGTTGATCTAGCGTTATAAGCATATGAGCAAATGGTAATAATTTAATTATTTGTTAAATAAAAAGGAATAGATAGACAAAATTATGTATATAAACTGTCCTTTTCTTGAGATAACCATAAATATCTTCTCATGACTGTTCAACAGCTTCGATAGTCTTCGATAAAAACATCTATGAAAGATCTACTTAAGATATAAGGTATTATGAATACAGTTTCTGATGAAACATAAGAAGTTTTCTTTTTTTTTTGCTTTCAACAGCTTCTAATTGAAACAATGCTACTACACAGAGCAATCCCTGAGATTATCCAATGGTGGAGCATTCAAATTTGTTTTTACATCACCAGCTTAATAGCAGGATGGGTACGATTGATAATATTGATATCAAACTGGATGACGAAGTTATTTCTTCAACTGAAACAAAATTATTTATTAATATTATCATAAGATAGATTATGTACCATATTTCCTATATTCAATATCTTTCGCTCTTCTCCATAAATCACATTCAATAGTTTTACTTCGATTTATTGGCTTCATCAGTGAACCACCTTTCAGTAACATCCATCTGAAGAGACAAGAAAAATGAGATTGGTCTGGATGATATGAATGATTCCACCTTGTGTTGTCAATACCATCGTACTCTGGCCATATATCTGTTGATTTCTCTTCTCTTAGCGTTGGGATTCTGAAGCAACTTGATGATGTATTGCAGTCGGTTATACACATACCCGGTGTTGGCAAAAGATGTCCAATATTGAATTACTTTCTCAGCCAAAGTTCTTTCTCTTTTTGTATACCCTGAAAGTGTAACTAGAAGAGATTCCAGTGATCTGGATGTACCGGCTGTCTGATTGTACAGAGGAACGCCAAACACGAACTCAATTTCATATCCATGCATAACTCCAGTCCATTTGGGCCATGGGTTCGCACTTAATAATTCAGAAAATAGAATTTATCCTTCAATTCTATCAATTTACCTAGATGGCTCATCGAAATAGTATACAAAGACTTTTCCTGTGTGTCCGTTTTGTTTTGGAACTTCATCTGCGAACCATATTGAGTCACAAGTGAAGAAATAATCTCCAACCATTTGATTAACCTTAAAATGGAACAGGTAAAACATTCCGATTGTTTACTAATTCAACCTGTTCAGCATAGAATTGAGTTTTCTCGTGTGGATTGGTACAGTTGGGATCAGAATAGACAAACTTGGCTGCATTTCGGACTAAAGTTGGTTGCTGAAACGATCAAAGCATTATGCGCGGGATCATTGAAAGGGACGTACCGTTGCAAAAGCTTTTTCAACACACACATTCATATCGTCTTTGGATAATAAAGGTTGTGTTTGTTTATCAAAGAAATCTGGCAAATTGTAAATATTCCAAAAGTTTCCTTCATCGTGATTTATTCCGAACATCAAATCGACATTTGTAGCATAATGACCGCTGCGAAGAGACGTGAAGCCATCGCGATCACGGAAAAAGTGACGATCTCTTAAAAAATGTCTAATTAGGACAACTCATACTGCTATGGAAAACCTTGATACAATCACAAATGGGAATTCCAAAAACGTCAAGTCTAATGACCAGATGTTGCTGCTCAACTCCTCTGCTGGGAGTTCGCGCATACAAGCAATAGTTTCAGAAACCTTCAAATACAATCTGGTCCTGGTTTTGCCGTCTCAAGTTTACCTCAGTCTTATTGCAATTTGTCAAAACGGCCAGCTGATTACCCTTATCCATAGCTCTTGCTGGTGAATCCATTGACCATTTGTTATCCAGACTGCCAGATTGGAGAATTCCATTCTTGAAAAGACTAAAAACTCATGTTACTTATATGATAATTCAATATTCTGCCAACCCCTGTGATGAAGGAGCGATAAGATGAGCAACAATACTTGCAGCACCAGCACTTTCTCCGAAAAGTGTGATACGTGAAGGGTTTCCACCGAAGCTAAATATATTATCTCTTATCCAGTAGAGAGCCAATTGCTGGAAAAGAATGAATGAAAAGGTAAAAAAATGAACTTCTAGATGAGCAGAATCAACCGTTCTAGTAATTATGACTTGAAAGTGAAATGAGTTTCACGTGTAATCATTGTTCACACGTTTCACGTGGAAAACAAACATATGCAAATTGATTCAATTGGAATAGAATGGAGCGTGAGAGAAAAAAAGAATCTAATGCTATTGGTTCGTTTATCGTATCATCAAATTTCAGAATTGGATGCTCAAACACGGAAACATCTTTTTTGAGAAAAACGCGTGATGGTTCTCAAAGTATGTAACTTTATGTGTGTAAAAGCATTTTAGAGATCAAATTACCATATATTTTAAATAAGAAAAAATGGCGAAAAAGAGGAAGAATTGAATGCAAACCCCTCTTCTTCTCATTTCATTGAGATGCTCGGTCAATTGATTGTGACATTATTTCTGTTTTTCTGCGACATTTAGTCGACACAAATATCATCAACGTATGAAAACTAACGATGCTGATGTTCATCACTTGAGAATTGCAATAAGAATCTGTTTGGAACAAATGAAAACGATTCCCAGACGAACAACGTTCTTCTGCTTGTCTCTAGAGACAGACAGCCAATACTAGTTGGAAGTGCAAAAATCAATGGTTATAAGGACTGGAAAGACCTGACGTACGAACAAAAAAAGTAAGAGGAAGAGACGTAAGGTTAAAGAACACGTGAAGAAAATAATTTAATTAATGTCTTCTTCAACTTTGATTGAAATTGTGGAGGAATGGAGTTATTTACCTGATCTAACATTCCCATGTTTCCAGGAGCATCTTCATGATCCATGAAGAGATATCCAAATGGTCCAACACGATAGTTTATATTAACAACTACGACATTTCCAGTTAAAGCAAGAGCCTGGAAACGATTTTATTGAAAATATGCTCTTCATCCAAACATTCGGCTCATAAACATTTAAATTCGAACCTTTCCATCATATAAGATGAGTGAAGGACTTCCGGAGTAGAAACCGCCACCGAAAAGCCAAACCATAACGGTTAAGTTACTAAATATTCGAAAATTTATGGAAACGAGCCCTATCAACTGACTATGCTTCAGCAGGAGCCCAGATATTCAAATAGAGACAATCCTCGCTTACGGGAGTGTTGTGATTCCACATTTCTGATCCCCAGAAGGAAGAGTTATACATATCTCGGCCCTTACAATCACGGTAATTTGCATAGTATGATAAAACTTTGATTTACTTGATAACATGCTGGTGAATAGTCATCCGCAATGACTGTTTCATTCCAAGGTTTTTTTGGACGAGGTGGACGGAATCGCCCTTCTCCAACTGGTGGCTCAGCAAAGGGAACACTGAAGTTCCGAGTTCGATTTTCAGTTTTCCCTAACCGAACATTACCTTAAGAAAGACCGAACACGTTTATGAAGAAAAATTGATTCTTGTCCTCGAATTTTTCCCAATTTCGTTTGAACTTCCACCGGTACATGCTCTTGGTGAGAAGCTGTCTGGAAACAAGAGAAATATCACTCCATGATCAAATGAAACAAGCTCCAAGCATAGAGTTAAGCATTGGAGTAATGATGTATCGAATGGTGCTGTACATACCTGAGAAAGACTAGGAAAAACTAGAAGTGCTGCAAGCCACCACATCTAGACGGATTGAGCAAAAACGCGATTTCTGGAGTCATATGAACATGAGTACTTATTAACTTGAGCAGCAAGTCGAACGACCATCAAAGAGAGAAAAAAAGGAGAAAAATATAGATAGAGAGGGGAGAGAGAGAGATAGCAAATCAGTAGAGTAATGGATAAGAAGAGAAATGTGTAGGAAAAGGGGTAATTTACCTTATTTGGAATGATATCAGCGTAGGTGGTAATCATTTATTGTGGGAAAGTCAATAGAAGTTGGAGCAAAGTAGGTTGGAAAAGATTTTTTCTTTTCCTGTTGAGAAAATTAAAAGAACTATATATATAAGTATTGAATAGACATGTTTCTATCAGTTTTTGAAGTATTTGAAATGAAGAAGAAGAAGAGAAGTTGAAATAATTCAGGAAAACTGCGAATATTTGAGCAAAAAAAGAATTTTTGATGAAAATGATGCTGAACATGCCAATACCTGAAGAGCTTAACGTTGTTTATAAGAATTCAGCACTTCAACCAGTTTATATATCTTTAGATGTGTCAGAGGATGGCAAGAAAAATTGAAAATGTCATTGTTATTTTCAACTTGTGACGCCTTCGATCTGTCCTTTACCATACTATAGAGTACGAAAATAATTTCAAATAATATGATATGTGATTGTGGGTCATCTGGTGAATGAGCTATTAGGTCCTAGCCAGAACATTGCCATTGAGTTGATTTGAAAATATATTTTCAATTTATATAAAGTGCATGCAGTGAGCTATAGATCAAACTTATAAATATATTATTACATCTTATACTTAACTAATCAAGTCAATTAGAAAATAGAAGGTATGAAACAGGTCAAATGACCTAATATGAATGAAAGACCTGCGACCTTTTTTTGGTCAATCTTCTTCATTCGCTCATTTTCATTTTATTTTTTCAATGTTTTTTTACAACAAAAAAAACAGAAAAAGAACTTAAAAATGAAAAACACAATAGTTTTTGGCGGAAAATGTTAAGAATTTAGAGTGTATGAAGGAAATAGAGATAGAAGGAAGAAGAAGATAAATGAAGCAACTCTCTTACTCCCTCCATAAATGGAAATGTTTCGGCTGTTTCTCTTGCCACGCCTACTTTCCTCGGACTTCTCGACGAGCAACAAATAATGACAGATTTTTTTGGGACATTTTTTGGTTTAAAAAACAGCAAAGAATAAACAAGTAAATTATAATAAATATTCTTTAACAGATGAGATTTGTCACTTCAGTCTCTCGCATTTGACTTGAAAAAATAGTGGAAAAGATGTGGTGTGATGGAGATGGAAGTGAAATATAATGTTCGCTCCAACGCTAATTGAAACTATGGGTTCGCTGACTGAGAGTTAACACACAGATGAATATGAAAGATTGTCAGACAGCGCAACATCTATTTGAATATACGATATGTGTCAATTGCATAAAAAGTATAATTAGCTAATGTTTCAAATAAGAATAATTAGTTGATATCAAACATATGATAGTTTGTTGTAAAGGGCATTCCACTCTATAATACAATTGCCAGCCATTGCTACCAAACTAAGGCTTATGAGGTCATGTTTCTTACTCGATAAGGACCTAATGTGTGGTCTGATGACATAGAAATTGGACAAACGGCAACAAGCGAATCATTTCTAAACGATTCCCTCATTGTTAGACAAATATCTAATATATACATATATGACTATATAATAGAGTAACTGTAGAGAGAGTAGTTCGTTTAAATCCACAAATGTGCATAAAACTGTTTGTAAACAAGGAAATTAATGTTTGGGAAAATCTGAATGCGACCTGTTAGCGTGAGAATTTATATTAAAATGAAATTTTTCACATTTATACATGTTGATAACGACGCGCGCAGCTTACGTAGACAGATGATTTAGAGGATTTAAAAAATGCGTTCGTCTATTCAAACTGACCAGCATGATTGAGAACTATCTTTTATGGGCTCTTGAGTATCTTCGGATAATCGCATCGAATAGGACTCGTCTTTGCGCTTGCACGACCGATGAAGCATGAAGTTTAATAAAAAAAGACTTAATTCAAAGATGTTGTTATTTGCTACGGTATGCAGAGTTAACATATATACAAATTCTGGAGAGAAAAAAATGGAAGAAAAACGTAACTGGATGAGCTTTTCCCCTGAGACAACCCTAAGGGTCTTCGGCGTTTTCTAAATCTCCAAAAGTCTTGGTCAGTATGGGACTACACATAAGATGAGAAAGAAACAAGAGGATCAGACTACATCATGATGTCTAAAAAGCCAGAAGTTGGTCGGTGAAAATCTTTCAATCCTCATTAGGTAAGAACTAGGCAAGCTTATATAGGCAAAGAGATTTGTATGAATAGATCTTTACCTAAATAGAGACAAATGTATGAATTGTTAACTTGCCGTCTATCTTTCTCGCACTCTCTCTCTCTTCCTCTTTCATCTTTTTCTCATTCTCTTTCTTTGTTCATTCTCCCTCTCTCTCTACCTCTCTCTTATAAGTAAGATTACAGGTTGTTGTTGGAGAATAAAAAACAAGTCAGCTATTTGGCAAACTTGTCAAATTGAGGGTCTTTCTGAGGTAGAAATTGAACATAAAGATATTGGAGAGTTGCATTCATTGGCAAAAAGAGAAAGTCAAAGTTCAAAGAAGAAATATTGCATAAACGAGGGTACACGTTGATTAGGAAATGAGAAGAAATCAATTGATTGATGATTGAAAATGTAGTAAAAGAACATCAGATAAATCATTCAATCTAGTGCCAACTTCAGAAAACAAATGTATGTGGTGCTCTCATAGTGTTTGTTACTCGACTAATTGTGGATGACACATCAACTCTGTTGTATCCAAGCAACTAATTAGGGCAAACATGTTATAGCCAGTTTATGAAGAAAAACTTAATTTTTTATTTATTTCTTACTTTGACGAATGAAAACGAATTTTTCATATGAAAGACCACAAAGCCACTGAAAGCAAATTCTTTAACGCATTTTGATTCAATTCATACGAAAGTCCGTTCTGACAGACGAATTGAATAAGGAAATATTGGAAAAAAGAAGATGAGAAGTTTTTTGAGGTTGAAATCCAAAAAAAAATTAAAAGGAAAGCCATAGACCACCTGCTACAACGTTTCCATGAACTCTCAGATATTCATCTTGCATAAGGAGAGCCGCCTGATAATTAGTCAATTGAATGCCTTTTAGATGAATTACTTAAGTACTAATTGTGACAAAGTGTTCAATTGTAATTTGCTTGTTCATTCGCATATCCGACTGTTCACGCATCGCACGTGCATCAAGCCAGATATGAATTAGCAAACTTACGAAACGGTTCAATTCAATTGATGTCTTTGCACCGGAGCTCATCAACACTTGAATATGCACTAAAGAAGTTCCAAGCATAAGTTTATGGATTGAATATAATAAGAATTCGTTGTTTGTTGTTTTTTTTTACGTCAGAAAAGAAAGTATATTGTTTTAGGAAAAGTCAGCTCAATAGATTTCGAATTAGTTTTATCTATAACGCCTGTTTATTCACAAGAACACTAGAAGGATTATCGACGAAGTATTTTCTTCTTCTTTTTCTTCTTCTTCTTCTTCTTCTTTCTTCTTCTGAACAACTTTCCTGTTCAGCTTCCGTCTCATTGCCTCGTTCTTCACTAGTAACTAGACAATATTCGAGACTTTTTTTCTTACAAAATTAAATTATTGTATTGCTGCTTTATAAGACATCTCAAAAAAACGTTTTTACTAATTGTTTGAATGAAATGTCTGAGACAAAACGTTATCGACCAATAATTTCTTCGAAAATTATTTCAGAAACCACGACATGCACGCGAATAGGGAAGCCTCGAATAATAGAAACGAAAGAGGATGGTGGAGAGAGAGAAATAAGAAAAAGAGAAACAAGAGGGAGAAGGAGCAAAAAAAGAAACTGAATATGACAATGTTTTACGATTTTTAAGTCAAGTCCAATTCTTCAACACATTTTTTTCTGTTCGAGTCTCAATTCCTCGGATAGCGTTAGAGGAGATACTTATGATCGTGTGGTAAAACTTGTGGACACTCTTTAGAACATGCAGTTATTTGTAAAAAGCACGCAAACTTTGGCCCCCAAAGAGCGGAGGAGGAGGTGAAGAGAAGACGTCAACTACAGCACAAGCATAATGCCAATAAGAGGCCCGTTGAAAGGATTTTCAAGTTTATGATAGAATGAAGTTGTATAGACTCACAGGACACGATTAAAAAAATTTTCTGCATCTACATATGAGTACTCTAGAAATTTCTCATTTGGTATATGAGCAGAGAAAATAGTGTAAAGAGCTGGTAAGGGAAACGTTTACCTCATTGGCAGAGAAGCGCCACTCATTACATGTTAGAAAGGTGGTCGGTCAGCTTGTGATGTAGGCTAATGGGCCAGAAAAGCCTGATGAGTAAACCCAAATAAAGATGAATAGCTTACGAGTACAAGTATCAATAGAGAAAGAAGAGAAATCAAGAGACAACCGTTCTACTTATCTACAACATTAGAAATGATAATGAGCTCTCAGATATGTTCACGTGTTTGACGTGAGAATAACACTTATATGTAAATGAGCTAGAGTATAAGATGTACTCAATATAATCTAGGTAAATTTGCGGAAAACTTCAAACATGATGAGCAACTTTTTTGTTTTATTAGCTATGTACACCAATCATTCAAATATGCAAAGAGGATAATGAAGAAATCATGAAACATACAAGGAGCAAAGACAAGCTGCTTGACAATCAGGATAAAGGAACTCAATTTCGAGCAACAAGATGTTTTTTATGGCAGAAAATGCTTATTTTCAGAAAAGTCATGAAGAAGACACACTTCAGCGTCTTCTTCTTTATCTCTCTCTAACTCTATTTCATCTCTCCAGTAAAATCTTTTCATGTTATATTTATGAGCAGAAATGATTTTTTTCACACTAGAAATTGAGGTTTGCGTCAAAATATATGGAATGACACTGATTCTCTTTCTTCATAACAAACCGAAATGTAATTTTTCATTTTGTTCTGAAACTTTTCTTTTTTCAAAAAATCTGTTAGATGACTCAGAGCCCTTAGTTTGAGCTGAGTAACCAACAACGGTTTCCTCACACAAGTCAATTGCCTTAATAATAGAGTCAAATCTAAAAGGGCAAACATGTAGCAGTTCGACAAAGAATTTTCAAATATGGTTTCCTGTTCTTATTGGGGTTGAATTGAGGCAGAGCTCAACATATCCATAGAGACAGAATCACGCAACAAAAGGATCCAGTGAGAAGAAACTGAAGACAAAGACGAAAATCTATCTGTATGCCGTCAATAAGCGGCTTTCACAACATTTGATAGTGAATTCATTGTTTAAAAACTCTAAGGAAAAAACGTTGAAATCGTTCGTTTGCTGAGATTTCATAGATTAAGTAGCTTATGACATAGAAAAACATTACTCAATGTCATATCCACAAGCGGAAGTTGTTCCAAATTTTGTTCATTGGATTATGATGTTAGTAGTCTCCGAATTAGAGCGAAAAATAATTAAAATAATTAAGAATGGAGCACAATACGACTCTTCCTGATTTTCAAATTACTCTACAAAATCTTTTGTTGGGAAAACGTATCTTGTTTCATTAGAGCGCACTTTCATAAACTATCAAGGCTATGACATCTATTCAAAAGCCGTTATAATAATTTTGGCTCAGTTCCAGAAAGTTGACTCTAAGACATTGGAGACAAGAACAATGCACAGTAACGAAAAACGATTATGAAAACGTTTCATAACAAATACACTGAAAGTATGCGTTGATATGCTAAAAGCTGGATTCGTTCGATGCTTTTTTCCAGCATTTACAACGAAATCACAAACTTTATTAGAGAAGCCTTCAATCCTCTGAAGTATGATGAGAAGAAGCGGAAAGAGGATGTCTTTCTTGAGAAATCATCAATGACTTCCAGAGAAGAGTCTTTGACAGCAGATTGAAACGTCTCCATTCTTCTCATGAGGGAGAGGTGCTACATACTTCCTAGAGGGGGAGAGGACGCATGAAATACTTAGTTAACTCAACTTTCATTTCATCCATATGCCTTACGGGCTTACGAGCATCGTATATCCTTGACCTTCATTGCTCAGATGTGAAGATTTCCAGAGAGAAATCTCAAAAATCTATTAATCACATTTCTATTAGCTTGAAGTTCAAGAACACATGGAAAATAGAGTGATTGATCTTCCATTCCATCATATTTATATATAAAATTATATCTGATTCATAGGGACTCATGAAATCATTAAGAAATAGATCAATTTCAAATTTTATTGTAATGCATATTGTATCCTCATTGCTGTTTCTGTAAGCTACAAAGAATGTTCAAGTGCGTACCCTTTCTGCTGGATTCCAGCTGGCAGCTGCAACACCCAAATGGAAAGTCCGGGCTTCTCTGCGTACAGGTGTCTCCTGTTCAACACAACTCTGATTTTCTGTTGCAGTCGAACTACATTGAAAACCATTTTTTTCAGATTACGGTCGTAAGATTGTTATCAATACGGTTATTCTATGAGTTTATGAAGATATCAGATAAAATTTTTGTCATCATTAAGCTAACGGAAACAGAGTAACATTGTTCGAAACACCAACTCAAAGTTACAAATCACATTTTTCAGTAGTTCATCAATATGACAACCATTATAAATAAGTACTATTAATAAAAGAATCCATCTTATGCTTTCCATATAATCTCATCTTTTGAAATTGAAATTTCAGTCCATTCCGAGTTGTTCTCCGTTCCATTCAAACCAGCATATGCATATCTATCATTCACACGCAACTGAACCTGTGATTCATCGCACAACCCTGCATTACGAACAAACTGAACTGCCTGAATAAATAAAATTAAAAAACAACACTAACAATTCAGTCATACCGTTTGAACGTGATCTAACATCAATGGGCCACCCTCTAGTTCCGTCACATATTCTAACTCATTGCCAATTCGTTTGATTACTTGAGACGTTTTCTGTTTGAAATATAACTTTTGATGATTTGCTTCATTCTCTAACCTTCAATGATTTTAACTGACCATGGAGGAAAGGCTTGGAAGCTATTAGAGTTGGGGGAAGATTAGCATGGGGGCCGGCAATACTTCTACACACTTTCTCTGTTTGAATGAAATTATAGAGTGTTTGCACTGAAGAGCCCTGGAAGTACATTTAGTTTATTGGGTACTGCGAGAGAAAAACTATTACTGTCACGAGAACAGCTGAGGTTTCATCTGTTTCATCTTTACTTCTACTGCTACTTGAATTAGATGTCATGGATTTACTGAAAGAAAATTCAATCGCTTCGTTCTTCTGCTTGCTTTATTGCACTTTTTGTGATTGAAACAACAATTGCAATAAATCAAGAGTTTGTTTCCAATTTCCACTTATGCTAACAAGCCATTACAAGCCAATTCTCACTTCTCACATTTCATTACAGAAGATGAACGGTTGCACTCGCGCAAAAATTCGTAATTCTATTTAATAAAAAAACGCACTGCCGTCGGAACTTCAGAGTGTTTTTTGGTGAGACTCCAACATCATTAAGCCAATCGTGATCTTCGCCCGATTTCTTTTTTGTTGGACTTTCATCACTATCAGATGACAAGGCTTTGCCTTCAGAATTTTCTTTCTCGTCACCAGTAGCGGAAAACCGTGATTTGGAAGCGGAATCTGAATTCAAAACTCGCAAACTCGGCTTTATACAAGATTTTACCACAAGACTCCTCAGATAATAAACTCAACTCATCGCCTTCAAGGGCGTCTTCGAATTTAAGTGTTGTCTTGGACAATCTCCTTTTTTTCCATTGACACAGCTCATACTCAATCCCTGTAAATTAAAACGGAAATTAGGGGAAGTACATGTAAGACACCTTCGTTTTTCAAATATCTTCGAAAGCCCAGCGTAGTAGGGGTGATGATAGCAATGTGCCGGCTCCCATCCGGACATTGGAAACAGGACATAGAATCGTCACCAACATTTTCTATAAATTCATATTTTATGTAAGAGACGGACTTGTAGTACTACCTAGATCAACTTCGTTAGATTTTGTGAACAAAGCTGTGAAGGAAGAGCACAAAACATAGAATGACTTTCTTTCTCCTTTTTTCCAAGACAAGAAGAGCTGCTCAAAGCACTCAGTCCTGAATATTTGATGAGTAAAAGTAATGAGTTGTTGAAAACGGGAAAACCATTCACTACTCAAATGATCCAACATTACTTGCGCCATCGGAGGGACTGTTTGTTTCGGCTGAAACTTAAGAAGCGAATCTATCCGGGGATAGAACGACATCCAAGGAAGGGAAGGAAACTGCCAGTACAAAGAAGAAGCTTCGTATAGGGCAAGGGGTGAAGCATCTTTCATCTTAAAAACTAATAAAACAGCGAAATTATGTCAAGTAACTACAGTTTCAGTTCCATTTGTATTCAAGAAAACTTTCATACCCTCTGTTCTGTCATTTCCTGTCAACCTTACGGGATAAACACCTGATATAATATATTAATTGCATATTCGAGAAACGTATTAACCAGATAAATTCGTGCTCTTAATCCAAGGAAACGGTGCCTTCGAAGTTATTCTGAGCTTAGTTCCTAAACGTAGGTCAACTGGGATGCTTTGCGATCTTCTCTCTTCTTTGATCGGTACTTTACTTATTTCGGTGGACGAACTTGGTGAAAAGATCTCATCCATATTAGAGAAATCCAATAGAGGTGATTGCTACAACCGTTCAGTTTAATTGTGTTGAATAAGAAATACCATGCTTTTTGATCTCCCAAAGGAGGTTTTCTTGACCTTGGCAACTCTATTGTGGACTAGCGGACTTAATACAATAAATGTAAGTTCGATCTTCACCTATGTCATGCTTACATCATGGGTGAGAAGGGGTCATTAGCAGTTGTATCATCCAAGTCGAAAGTGGTCTCCTCGATTTCTTCCGTTTTTTTGAAGCGTTTAATTTCCGGCGATTTCTTCAAGTAGTTTATACAAAGGTTTACAAAGCCAACGCACTTTGAATGGGTTAAGATTTTTTGTATCTCCAGGAGTCATAGGAGGACAACTCTCTGTGTTCAAGTCATCAATAGATGGCGTTCCTAATGTAACATTCAAATAACGACTGAAAAATTACAAACCCTTCAAGATGTTTTAAGGGTTATCACCTGCTTCTTCTCTTCAGATGCTTTGTCATACGTTCGCGAGGATTCTTCCATGCTGGAGAACTAGGAGTCGACATATTTGTATGAATATATATATATATATATAAGTATAGATAAGCCGGCTTTATTCAATTAATAATAGTTAGTTATCCACTAGAAGCCAGAAGTTTATTACCATTTAATTATACTAACTGCTTTTCAAAATTTTTTTCTTCGCGCTTTCTCTATTTTTGTTCACACGCGGTTCTACGTATAGGAAATGAACAGTTTTCGTTTTCAGAAGAAGCACAGAACAGATTGCTGATTAGTTCCGATTGGCCACATCACAAAAAGTTAGGAGTGTGTTGTATGATTTGATAACAGTTAATGCCATTCTTTATATTTCAGATTTTATCATGATGATGTATGATCTTCACTTCGAAGTTCTCATAGTTAGTTATGAAAACTCCGATACTGTCTAATAAGGAATAGAGTGGGAAAAAGCCACTTCCTCGATACACCTGAAGCAAGCACGGACAAGGTACTTTTGTTGTTTTGTTTGTTAGCTTCTCCGGAATATTTTATCATTCAAAGATGATTTATACTGTTTCAGAAGTACTTACGGACAGTCGTGTCTTTGACATAAGCTGAGTACTACACAAGTTCTGTATTGGTGTGAGAGAACATCCAATTCGGTCAAGGTATGTTTTCTTATTTTTATTTGTTTTCGAACCATTGCACGTTTTTAATTTTGTCTGCGGAAGTTTCGCTGCTTGACCACTGTTCATTTCTCATGGCCATGAGGTTCGAAACTTATTTCTGCGGTGTTTAGAGCGGTTACCTTGATTTTACTGATATTCTCTGCTCCTCTTTCTGAAGTGATGTAAATCTAATGAATGAGTTCTCCTGATTCTTGTTCCCTCTAACGCTAAACGAATATAACTGAAATTTTCGCAAGAAGCAGACGAAGCTTGAAATGAATTTCTGGTTGATGATTTGTTGTTTTTCAGTCTCGGGGGGAATTCGCGACCAAGTTTGATGGCAACTTGTATGTAATGTATCACTCGTAGCTATTGGGATAAAAGAGTTAGCCGCTCCTATGAAAATGCTCTATGCCTTCACCTCTATCGGCGAAGAATCAGATGAAACGAACATGAATAATATGAGATACAGCCATAAGTTTTATTTGTCTGAAATATATTTCGCTTTGCGCTCTGACTTCTCGCATTCATCGTGTTACTGATTCCAGCTCCTCAGAAAAAACAAAAATCAGTAGGTTGCTGTCCCGAGCCATGTATCAAATTACTTCTTTATCGTGTTCGTCATACTATTTGTGGCAATCATAACCCCCCGCTGTTCATCGTTTCGTCTAGTCCATCGTAAATCTATCTGGGACTCTGAATACATCTCACCAAATGGCTACAAATGAATCTACTTATATACATCTTATGATATGAGAGAATAAATGCCTGAGAGAGAATTATACCAAAGGGTTAAGAGGACATGATGAAGAGTGGGAGGGATCAGCAATGAAGATGAGCAGCAGCCGCCTTTAGACCCACTCCTGGTACTACGACCTCCTCCTGGGAACAGTGTAGCCATAGATAGTTGTATTCACACATCTGGTGAAGGATCGAATCAGAGTTTATCATCCACTCCGCTACTCTAGCCCGAAAGCTTGTCATCCTTTGTTTTTGACGTTGTTATCGTTGCTTTCTTCCTCAACGCGAAATGGAAACGATAACCGCTTATTCTTTTTAACTTTTCAATTGCATTTTGGAATACTTGTTCCAATCCATCAATGTTCTCAGAAACAGTGCTTGCTTTTACTGAGGCAATTTCTTTTTGTGATGAGTCAAACAGTCAGCAAATAGATTGAATGAATGATTGAAGGTTGCCTAAAGTAGAAGACGAGTCTACACTGAGGTGAATGACAGTGTTCAGTAAAAGTATGCCGCAAGTTTGAAGATGAATATGTCTGACCAGAGTACTATGTCCTTATCCTCAAAAAAAGATCCGGTTGTATGCTGCTGGCTTCATGTTGTGTTTTTCGTTCGCTACAGCTTTCATTTCATCGCATTTTAATTGAAAATTTTGTAGCATTACTGCTTCCTACGTATAATAATAGGAATTTTGAGAGAATAGAGCTGTCAGTCTTAGGATTGTTTAACCTTGAAAAGGACTTCCTGAGTCATAACATTAATTCTGATAGTTACACGATGCTGGACATGACTATGAGAGCATCGCTTTCATTCTGTATAACAGATAGTCAGTCTCTGCGTTGTGTATGACCTTTTGTTTGAGAAACAACAAAAATTTTTATTTTAATCATCTTCTTCAATTTCTTGTGTCTTTCCTTTATATTGGAGTGAGTCAAGACTTGAAGCACATAGTTTTTCTTAACGCTTTACTCGATTTTTTGTTTTTTTTTGTCATCCTGTTCCGCTTACAATTCTTCTCAATGTCAAGAAATCAATAATATTCGTTCACGTAAAAGTCTTCACGTGAACTCTCTTTGTTTTTTATTTTTCTGCAGCTTACAGCTAAATGCGGTTGAGTTTTTCTCCATTTTTCTCCTCTCTCCCATTCATCTCAACCATAGATAGGTAATCTTTCGTAATAATGAATCATTTTGATGATGTTATTTGTATTTCTTGGATCAAAGGATCTGCGATTCATAGGCAGCAGCCATGATGGTTTGAATGCTGTGTGAACCTGACATTTCACCGTTTGATGTGCATTTCCTATTTGAGTTATTCCGTTTGAACCACTTATCACCTAAGATCAGTCATTTAAATTGTTTTGAAAAGTTTTCTGGGTCCAGCAGTCAAATCATTTGTGAATTTAATGTTTATAGTCGCCTTTCCCATAACATTCACCAATCTCAATGCTTTCATACGATTCAACCATATAGAGTCATTGATATGTATTCCATATATCAATCGCCTAAACATTCCGTTCTTCAATAAGGTTTGCTTTGATATCTCTTTTAACTTTTCTCCTTGTTGTAATACCGCATCATCATGATTGGTTCTTGTGGAGCCTTTGTGTGCTATATGCTTCACTCTTTTTATATCATTTTCCCACAATTTTCTTAATTCAGTCTCTTTTCCTTCTCGTTTTTGGTTTTTTCGCATAACATCAATTTGACTTTTTGACTCTCCTATTCAACTTCCAATGTCTTTTCTGTCTGTAGACTGTGAATGTTCTCACGGGAAGCAGTCAAGGTTTAGGACAATAGCGTGATAGTCTGGACCATACTGCCCAAGACATTGAATCTGACATTTTGTATTCTGACATTGTCGAGTTTAGTTCACTTTTATTCTATTTGTCATACTTTTTTGTGTGATTATATATCCCAATTTTCATCTGGCTTTCTGCGTTCTCTTGTTCTTCCAGTTCTGTATAGTCTGACCTGACTGAAAGAAAAAAACCATAAGTCCTTATTTCAGTTGACCATCTATGGTTTTTGCTTCAATTTTTTGTTTCCGTTTCTCATCTTGCTTTATAGAGATCTATCTCTATGGCTCGTCTTTCTCCACCCACAAACCTCCCCATGCACTTGACCGAAAGTTATTCACCTCGAGCAGAACTTCTGAGGCGTATGTGAAACCTGTTCTCACTTTTTATTATCTACTACGAGAGGTAGAGCTTTTCTTTAGTTCTTGTTCAAAAATGATGGATTATCTCCTAATGTGTCTTTTACTAACTCGATTAATCTTCTGAACGTCGCCAAGACTTATCAGATGCCGCTCATCTTTGACACCATAATTCATTCTCTATATACATTCTGCTCAATATTTCATACTCACTTATGACTAAAAATATTACTTCATTCATCTCTCAGAAATGATTGTTTGCAAATATCATTCTTATTTTTCAGAATAGTTCTCAAATCCATGTCCTCACCAGTTGTAGCAGATCAAGCTCATCAAGCGCAAGAACTCAACAGAATCGCACAAGCCAAGTAAGTTCAATTTTCAATATTTGCTTTTCGAAAATGTTCCGACCCAATAATATATCCTGCTATGAAAATTCGAGTAACGACATTGAAAGGATAATGACCTCGCTGGCTAATGTTTTTTTTTGAAAGAGATACATTCCGTGTTCACTCTGCCTACTTAACCATCTATGTCAGGGGGATAATGTGAATTTTTCCTCATCAGGAACAATGATTTGTACAGTGAAGCTTCGATGTTCCTTTTTCTGTAGGTTAATGATGACGTAACTGGTTCATTCATTAGTTAAATCCTGCTGCATCATCTGTTCATTAGGTCTCAAATGCTTTCTCTTCCAAGCCGACTCTCATGATCTTCGGCTTGACAAACATCTAATGTGGTGGCAGCTCGACCCTCTCCATCATACTTTGTCTTTGAAAAAAGCCGCTTTGCTTTTGGAGTTTTACTGTTTCTTCCTTCGTCTGGCTCTCTAGTGTTGTTACTTCATCGTATCCTTTGAGGATTACGGTAATCGTATTAAATCTTTTGTTTTAGTTGAAGTATCATTTTCTATTAGTATAGAATGCGAATCAATCTCTATATTAGGATTGGTAACATAAGCACTTATGTGATGGAGAGTCTTTGTTGTTAGAAACTATTGTAGATCTCCCAATATGACCAGGTGTTTTGACCCATCCTCTCTATTCAAAGTCATCGATATCACGGACAAGTAGTTTTCTTTTGAAACAAATCCTTTTACGATGGGCTTAGCTTACCGTTCTCATGGAGCAGTAGTACTAGATCAACGAAAGGAGGATTAAACACAATACAGTTCTTTCAAACATTTGCTCAAATCATATATGGCCTTAAATCTTTTGAACAATATGCTAATAAGGATAGTTTTGAGTGCTTTTCGTGTTTACAAATAGTTTTTAGGTGACTAGGTTATAAACATGTCATTTTTGGACGTTTTATGGTATACAAGACACAACATTTGCTATTTTGTACGTTAAAAGACGAACAAATCCATATTGGGGTTTAGTTCTATGAAACTAGCATCTGCCATAGCACCTCGTAAAACCCGAAAGCCTGGCACTTCTCGAATTTATGAGGCTTGATTAAACAGACGAACGATTACAATCAAACAAGGACATGTATTCCTTTCATTCTGTGCTTTTTACTTCCAACTGTTCCTATTTTTAGTTGTTTGAGGGGTTTTTAATTTTGCTATCTTCCAGATGGAAACTAGATGATTATGTGAGAAGGAAAAAAGAGTTATTAAGGGAGCTAGCAGAGTTTAGATCAAATGAAATGTAAGTTCTGTTTGTTTTTCTGTCTTCAAATTCTTTTTCAGCTTAATCAAAGAAGTCAGTAAAACAATTGATGATCTGAATCGAGAGAAAGAAGAGCATTCTGAAATTATACAAGCCATAAATCATGATAAGCAAGAGTTAGAAAAAGAAGTAGAAGACACCCGCTTCGAAATGAGAGATTTGGAAGGTAAAATACTCAAGAACTACGAGCAACTAATGAAAATAATGGAACAAGTAAGAAATCGTTACTTTTCTCAACACCGTTTGTATCATTTTAGTCGAATGATAAAATCCGGGAGAGCGGACTTGGTGAGGACAATCTAATAACCGCTGAAGATATTCCACATGCTGACATATCAAAGTAAGTTATTTTTTAATTTTCTATATTGATATATCCATTATAGGTTGTCACAGGCAGCTCTATTACAATCTGTTCCTACTGCTCCAGTTGCAGCTACTTCTTCACCTTTGCACCCGTTCAAAAATTTAACACCATCTATGATGAATCCGTTCCTTGAACAGATGTTCTTATCAGGCTCACCTGCTGTAAATTTTTTTCTTATCAACAATGTCTCATTTCCTTTCTTTAGACATTTAGAGGACCTCCAGTTCCTTCCCACATCAAATCCACCGACCATCAAAGTCCTCCAATGAAAGTAAGTTGATGGAAGAGGAATTGAGGAGTTAACGCTTCTTTTTTAGCAATGTCAGTCTTGTTTCCAACAAATCCACAGGAATGCACCTATTTGTCCGATGTGCAAAAGCAAATCTCGCAGTAAAAATCCAAAAAAGCCTAAACGTAAAGATATTTGAGTTTTCGTTATCACAACACGTATTTCTTATCAATTATCATAATTATCATTGTATATTATTAATATTAATGAATTGTACAGCGCTTTACATAGTTTCTTTTCTGAAAAACCGAATTCGAATCTTCAAAAAATAATAGTCAGTATTTCCGCTTTTTTACCATCATGGTGATGGTGAGTAAATTCTAATGATAGAGAATCGGTAAAACATTCCGTCGAGCCGGATTCGAACCAGCGACCTAAGGATATCAGAACGTCTACAGTCCTCCGCTCTACCAACTGAGCTATCGACGGTACATCGCGATTAAAAAGTTTTAAAACTATGAATATGAATCATCTAAGAAAACTTTTACTTTCTGAAAAAAGTTTATGAATTTAATGCTGTGTAAACATCGAGAAGCAGGAATGATTATTGTTTTCGGAATACGCTTAATATGGTGATGCACACAACCGTTTTTGATATGCAGTTTGAACCAGACTCTTCATGAATATCACACAGAACTTCTGATGGTCTGTGTTGATTTGGAATTGTGATGTAAAGTTCTGTAGAAAGATCTCGAAGATAAGAAGGTATAAGTGCTAGCCACTATAACCATTTACCATTTCAGACATTCCAGCAGCCAAATGTTGTTAGATCTATAAGCATGATGATGTCTTTATCATCATTTTGTTGTTCTGATCGGCTGTCTTCATGGTACCGCGATCAGCTACTTTGATTCTTCATTTTGTTTTTCTTTTTTTCTCTATCATTAAATGTGGGTTCTCTCTTCATGCATTTGAATGTTTTGAGAAGGGACGAACAATTTCAGAACGACTCATGGATGGAAACATACTATTACGTAAAACACTTCAACACCTCCTGCATTTCTTCATTGCTAAAACTTAAAAGTGTAATCGATGTGTACTTCTGAACTGTATTTCTTCTTATAGGTATCAATAACTATATAATTCTTCTTCATCATTACGTAAGGAGATGTATATGCTAATTTTGTATTTTGTCGTCCGCCCTGTTAATTTGCATAATCTTGAAACATATTTGAAAAAACCTTTTTACAACTATCTCAAAATTGAGTTGGGTCAACAGGCTACGGTTCTGCATTTGCTCTTCTTTCTGTTTCCACCGTTTTTAAACCTACTTTCTAAAGTTCGAGATGAATCACTTGTCTTCCTCGGAAGGCCAATTGTCCGTAACGTGATAGACCGTAGATGAGGCTGAGAGCCCTGAGGCCAAAGAGAACTAACATAGCCAGCTTCCCCACCTGATTCCCATCACATTCTCAGCTAATCGTCTTTATTCTACTGTCGACACTCTGTCCTTTTCCACATTACACTGAGAAGTGGTTTTTATTTAAATCCCATTTCACAAATTGGGCCCTCAGGGTTGAAATTGCTCAGTCTACCATACCGAGATCATCATAAAAATGCAATTGTTTCGATCATACATCCTTGTAAGATGAACTTGGAATTCATATTTCTTCCAACCTCGCATGGAAAGTTCTATTTTTCGATACGCTTCATTACTTCAACCAACTGAAATCAGCCGTAGCTGACTTTTCTGATTTTCCGGCACTCTTCTCCTATGTTCCGGAAACTGTATATCTCCATCCTTTCGCGTCACTCTCTTCTATCTTTCATTTTCTTACTTTTCGTCCATTAAAGATCTAATTGTTTACTCAGCTTGACGCAAGAAATCTGAACTTCAGTAGAAATTCTGACTTCCAGCTTCCCATCATCAGTTTAATTAAAGCTTTTCAACCCCCCCCCCCTTTCTGATTCAAAATGTTCATTACAGATAGTTCGCGGCATGGATTGTGATACAATAGATTTAGAAAGCTTAACATCGAATCTCAACACTATAATAGCGGCCAGGTTAGTTTTCTCTCTACTTTTTTAATTTCTCTCCATATCAGTGAGAACGTTGCTTCCCTACAGTTGCTATCCAAGCATTTAAGATCTCATATGTCCAAACTTGACGGTATGTACTATGCTTATCAGTTAATCTAACAAATCTTCAGAATATATCGAGTTCCTTAGTAAATGTAAGCAATTAGAAACCGACCTGGAGATCGAACGTAAAAGCCATGCTGAAGAACTACGACAAATCAACCAGGTTTCTTTTGAAACTGATAAGTCTATTACTTGATATTTCGTTTCAGGATATCAATCTAGGTGAAGATCATTTGAAATCTTTGAGATCTGAGCAGGAAAGTCGTAAGCAGAAACTGTTGAGGAGCTTAGACGATTTGAATAAGCTGCGTGAACTTGCCAACTCATCGGTAGCAAAGTGTCATTATGTCAATCGCTAATTTGTAGAATTTTAGTTCACCCACTGTTCTATTGAAGATCACGATGGAGAAATACCGACATTAGGCCCATTCGAAAGCGAACTTCTAGATGGGTTAGCTACCATTCTTTCATGTTTTTTTATGGATATCACAAACAGAATTTTACCACAAAATGATCTAGTGAGTGCTGCCGATCTCATAAGCATGAGTCTCCTACCGTTTTATCAAAACAGTCAGTTGTTTCTTAAGAACTTGTTAAGGAAATTCTTTTCCAGATTTTCATATGTTATCAAATGGCAGGCCCAGTTTACATGAACCCAGTAAGATGAAGGTGGATAGTATTGCTTAAAGAAAACATATCACTTCGCCATTTTACAGACTTGTGAATCTTGTCAAGCTCAAATCCATCGAAATGCTCCAACCTGTCCATATTGCAAGACAAAGAGTCGAAGTAAAAATCCAAAACGAAGAAAAGTTTGATGATATCATACGAGGAATATGTCGTTTTCAATTATATACTTATCATTTGGATTAGATTAGATAAACAATACATGAACATGACAATAGACTGCTGTTTACAAACTAGATTAAAATCTTTTTGTTCTACTAACTCATAAATCGCTCATTTTCGTAGATACAATTGAAATTCAAAACCACAACATGAAAGTTCTTCATTGAAGACTTTATAAATCTTAACTAAGATATTACCTACTGGTAATTTCGACAGCAATAAATGGCTAATGGAAAAAAACTCATCTTACTATTACTCAACCGTTCATTAGCAACTTCGACTACGAAACGAATTCGATTCATTGCTTATAACCTCATTAGCATAATTGCGACTGATATTCAGATTAATGGTCTGGATTTTGAGTGATAAAATGGAATAGATCTCGAAATTCTCAACAACGATCGTAGATCAACTTACTACATATGTAATCATTCAAAATTTCGAATAGAACGAAAAAATTCTTAATTAGACCATAGTTGGTCAAAACAAACACAAAGACCAATCACTCTTTGTCAAAGTATATTTGCAATATAAGGTTAACCTTATTGTTCATCATTCACTATATCAGCACCTCTTCACATGAAATTACAAAGTTAAAGAGTTATAATATCTGTTGGGTATGTGCCAAAGGCACAAAAAATAGCAGATTGCCATTTTGGCGGTAAGGATTGGGAAGAAAAAGTGGGCGCCACATAAAGTAGGTCAGCTCCGCCTCTGCTCCTGGCAAATCAGGTTACTATATAAGTCCGCGTCTTGGTCAGTACAGCACATCATCAACTGCTCCAACTCTAAGGACAAGTTTCCTTGGCGTATTTGGAGTATTCAATTAGGGATTTTTCACTTGGTGGGGGATGCTACGATGAAGTCTTTGTGACCTTCACCGGGTATACATCCACCAAGGGATTCTTCCCGAAATCTCTATATTATTGTATGAGAAGCTCAAAGGCACTTCCGTAGATAGCAATAGGTGCTGATCTGGCTTTGGTGCTCATATCACAGTCTACTTGCTATCCATGGAGGTGTCTTGTAAAGAGTGTTTCTTACCTTTCTGATTTCTTATTCCTTCCAGAGGAGAACATACCCGCTCTTCTGGATGTGCCTGCTTGGTCATAGTGTTATGACTTATATGACTAGAGACACATTCAGCAGAGAGGATAGTGTAAATCCCTCTGTTTTTTGTGTTTATTTAAATAATCTGGAGACCAAACGTTGATTTTCTCCTCGGTTAAGCTAAAATAGCCTTCACCGGGTGAACATTTACGCTTGGTCAACAGATGGGATTCACCATCTTATCTATAGCATAGATTTCCATATCTTTGAGATCGTTGAGGCATGTACGGTTATATGGGATCGGATTAGTTTGATGGATACCTTGATGTGATATTTGCCTTGTAATTTGCCTCCCGCCGAGGTTCGACCTAACTTATTCTTTTCAAGTGACCTTATCTTGATTGTTCTCGTTGGAAAGTGTGATCGTAGATGCTACATAAATTCACTGAAACTAGGAAGGGTACATCTTTTTGAACGTTTTCATATGCAATGTGCTCTATATTGAACCATGGATTTTCCCGAATTTTGAAAATGCTGAGCCAAGTTAATTCTCCAATTTGGAGAAATTTTCCATGCATGGATGGTGACCCGGTGAAGGGCAAGTCTCTTCCACGCGATCAGCATCCATGCATGGAAATCCATCTAATCTCTTATTTGGTCTAACATGTTGTCATCTAAGTGTCGTCTTATTTCAGAGGGAGGAGGTAGAGATAAGAGAAAAAAGAGAAAGAGTTAAAGAAGTGGGAGGTGCGAACAGGAGGTGGAGATAGAGGAGGAGGCGCGTAGTCTACTAGTGTAGACTATTTGCTAAAGGAGGACATGACACAACTCGTCCTTCTTCTTGTGGTGCTGTATCCCTTCGTCTTCCCCTTGTTCAATTTTAATCGATCGATCGTCAATACTATAACCATCACCAGCCCTACCAGCCGGACCTAAATCGAGTTTGCTTGGTAGTCTAAGGACAAAATGCGACCTCGTCTCTTCTAGCATCATCGAATATTCCCTTGTTCACAGAGCTGGTATTTTGTTTTCGATCGAAGTTGTCTTACAGTTTGATTTCTGTTATTATACGTTCACTTCGTACCTCAAACTTTGTGTTTGTCTTCAAATAATACCTCTAAAGGTAATGTTCGTATTCCTCCTTAAAAAACTCCCGCTTTATCTAATCTAAAACGCCAGCACCTGCTAGAACGATTGTCTTATTTCAATGGCAAAGACAAATGAGTGCTGGAACGGGACATTTCGTGCTGGTCATCCACTAATCTCTCCGGAGCAATACCGGTTTCCAAATTCAGTATAGTCACACTAATCTTTTTGTATTATATTCATATAAATATATATATTCGTACTGTCATCTTCAGCTAGAACATCTGCTCCTGAAGACATCTGTCTGTTTTGCAGGAAGAACCGGCGGTAAATTTTAAAATTTGAAATCGTCCTTGACATGGTTCTTGGCGCTCACCGCAGACGCGGCAACAGTTCTCTTCAACATTGATCAGAATCTAACGCATTTTATGGAGTACGAGCGCTATTTGAAGCTGCCCAGTAAGAAGTAGAAGAAGTTGGAGGATTTAAGTATTGGTTCATTTGTCAATTCGTTAGAAGACTTCTGTCAACCTGGATGTCTCTCGTAGTCATACATTTTCTTAGATATGACTAGAGACACATTCAGCTTGAATGTCGTCTCATCACGAACCATTTCTTGTTTAAATAAATGAATAAAATGTTTGTCTGTTCAGTCTTTTTTTAACCATATAAAGATAAACGAAAAAATCAAGACCACGTTGGTAATATATCTATATTTCCCAATTACGAGTTCGGTTACTGTTTTTTTCTGCTCTGGGAACATAGGGAGATCGGAACAAGGGCCAACGCCAATGGGGGTTCACAAATATAGTACTGCGTCTTAATGTTCTGAACACTCAAATCCTCAACTTGTTAGTTAATCGTAAAGTGTTTATTAACAAATAGTATAAAATCCAACTTAGCCGTGTCAAGAAGCGGAAGCATGTGCGATTTGTATGAAACTTGACGTTTTTCACCTCAAAGCCTTTTGTATTGGACGTCATCTTCGTAGGTTATAACGTAGTTTCAAAGAAGCGCGAAATTTTGAAAATGTCTCGGTCGAGCTATTATTATCATTATTATTCTTATTTTCTTGTTTTTTTTAGTGTTTTTTCGTATATAATGTTTTTTGTTTTTTTTCTTCCAAGCGTTTTGTGCAACTTTCCGTGAAGCTAGTTTTATAGTAAATGAGTTGAAAAAAAATTATATAAGATGGAGTGCGAGTCTGATGAGGATAAACCTATAACAGAAGTAAGGACTGCTAGGAAACGCTTTCCTGATGATGTTACTAATCTTCCCGAAATACCACAAAAGGTAAGATTAGTTTAACTCAGGCTACGAACAGTTTCGCAATTTAGAGGGACAAGAAAGGCCAGTTTAACTCGAGATTCAGTTCGGTATCAGTTTCTACAGCAAGTTTGACTGAGACTGATAGTTAGTACTTTTTTCTCTTGTAAAATTAACTAATCCTTCTAGTTGCAACTGAGGTAGCAGGTAGAATAGCTGGAATTGAAATAGAAAACTTCATGTGTCATAGTAATTTACAAATTAATTTCGATGTGAAAAATAAGAATTGTTTCTACATCGGAGGTTCCAACGGAAGTGAGTTGTCATTGAATCTCGAACAATTTGATCAAAATTCATTGCAGGTGGGAAAAGCGCCGTGTTCGCTGCTTTTAATTTGGGGTTAGGAGGAAAAGGTAGCCACAATGACCGTGGAAACTCTGTGAAAGGATATATAAAATCTGGAAAACAGTAGAGTTTTCATCAGTTTTCTGTCATCATAACTTGTTGTAGGAGAGCCAAGATTCGAATTACTTTGACTAATAGGGGACAAGGAGCTATCAAATCTTTCGCACAGAGAAACTTAGGCCAGCACGTGATAATAGAGAGAAGTATTAACCATACACAATCAACTTACACTTTAAAAACAAGTGATGGTGTCGGGAATGAAATGCGAGGTAACGATAGGACTTATTATTGAACTTATTTTCTTCAGAACGGGTATTCTCTAATAAAAAAAGTGATCTCGACGTGATTTTAAGTAAATATAATATTCAACTAACTAACCCCATTTTTTGGATGAGTCAAGATCGATCTCGTCAGTTTCTTCAGGGATGGGATCCTCTGAAGATGTTTAATGTATTCTTTTTGTTACTCCTCAGTCATCCCTTGAACCAATCTTCTTCAGATGTTCATGGATTCTACTGGGTTGAGTGTAGCGTTAAGAACCTATGAAGAGATTGAGAACTCATTGAAGGAGTTGAAAACTAATCAAAAGATATGTAATGAGCTAGTTCGAGAGAAGAAAGAGTTGAGTTAAAACACTAATCATTTATTTATTTTCCTCGATTCCAGAGAGTTTCAAAAAATAATAAATTTACGATCTCAAACTCAAAAGGTTAGACAGCTTCGTACTAATCTTCTAAGTTTGCATTGGATGGCTTGCTGGACTCCACTCAGAGATTATCAGAGAGTTGGAAACCCGCAACTAGCTGTTCAAAAAAGTTTCCTTTCAGGATTTTGAAGAAGTCGAGTCTGCTTTGGATAATTTTGAAAAAAACAAATCGAATCTGCGAACAGTTTTGAAAGAAGTAGCTGAGGAAAAAGAGGTTAGTGCTTTGATCGGTTGATGAGAGAATGTGTTCAGTGCATTCTATACGTATAAGTTGTTACTCGAGTTGAAAACTGATTGTGCGGTTGATTTTTCCTCACCTTCGCAGAACAAGTTGATATTGAAATTCTGTATTACAGGCCAAAGCAGAACTTAATGAGAAGATCAGGAAGGAAATGAAAGTCTTCTCGGAGAGCACAAAGGTTTTTGTGGAAAGAAAAAAAAACTGCGATCAGCAGATGAGGTATCTTTCAGTTAGTTGTTATATTCTTTTGATTTATTCCTTCAAGGGACCTCAATCATAAAGTTATACAAATTGAAAATGACCACGAACGTCTGAGAGTAAAATACGAGTTAGTTACAAGTTCAACTTGTTTTCCTGAACCTCATAGTTGTTTAGAAATCAGATGCGGACGATCACTCGAATGGAGACTGAAGTGTCCGATGTTCTGACGAAGAAAGGTGTAGACGAGAATGCGGAAAAGATTCAAGAAGCTAACAGATCTCTGGAACTATTAACAGAACAAGTTCGAAATCGTCGAAAGCTCATACCTATATGTTGAATTTAGGAACAAGTAAAGGTATCAGAGAAAGTGAAATTTAGACAAGATTGGAATGAAGTTGAGAAAAGAAAGCAATCTAACGATTCCGAATTAGCGCAGGTTTCCCGAGTCGAGTAAAGTAATACAGTCAGTAATTTGTTTTAGATCAAGCAAAAAGGTGCTAGCCTTGTTTCAAAGCTCAAGATGCAAGAGTCTCTACTACGAGACAGCGAGGGAAGATCGAGCAATCAAATGTTCAGGTGTGCTTCGTTTATCTATTCGAGCTGTCTAATGTAATCTGTAGATTCGGTGAGCACACTTCCAAGATACTGGAAGTTATTCGTTCGAACCGTCATCTCTTCGATATGGAACCGAAAGGGCCTATTGGTTTGATTCTTAAGCTGCGAGTAATAAACATTGTATTTGTAGGCATGTATGTTAGTGTGTTGGATAAGAAGTGGGCTTTTGCTGTTGAAGAAGTTTTGCGAGCTAATTTGAAATCGTTTTTAATTGATAGCAAGAAGGACTTGACGACTTTTAGGAAATTATTAAATAAATACCGGATTCCTGTCCCAAACACTTTAGTTACAAGGTATTATTTATTTCTTGATATCGATGAGTTTTCGTTTTAAAGATTCGTAGGAGAAGACTATGACGTGAGGAGAAGTGAGCCTAGCTCAGATTATCCAACAGTTTACCGAATGATAGAGGTTAAGGATGTTGACGTCAGGTTTGTCGGATGTGGCGTATTCGATGTAACATTGTGCTTTCAAGAAACGCTCTGATTGACAGCACCGGTATTGAAAGTATCATTTTGATTGAATCCGATCAGGAAGCAAGGCGGTTGATGGATGGGCATGTAAGCTAAAAAGTTTTGATTATCACGTGAAATATCTTTTGTAGGCTCCTCAGAATGCCAGTAGAGCTATAACTTCAAGTGGTGGAACTGCATACTCACACCCTTACCGATTTTATGCATGCCAAAAAACTCCGAAGCCAACAATATTGGATGAAGATCAAGAACTATGTGACTTTGAGTAAGTCTTAATGCTGAGTGGAATCACAACCAATGTCACTCAGGAAAGTTCGTAGTGAGATTGCTGATCTAAAAAAGCAGCTGGAGCAATGCAGTGCGGTCAGGTCTAAACTTGAAAATCAAGATAGAAAACTTCATAAGGAGAACGAATACAAAAGAAGGCTGTTTACTTCCTGTGAGGAGGAGATGCTCCAAATTCAAACTCAGATTCGAGAATGTAGAACGAAGGTGCTGTTAGCTAATTTTGACTTATAGAGTTTTGTAATATTTTTTAGATTGATATGTTCGTAGATGATACTGACAACGATGAAGTGATTGGCAATCTTGTATGTTCTTTCGGTATAAATCCGATCTCATGCTTCGTTCCAGAGAAATTCCATTGCGGCGTACCATGATTCATGCAAGAAGATCAAGGAAGAACAAAACACTTTGCAAAATGTAAAAAACATTTCTTGTACCGTTGTATTAATATAATATCTTTTAGAAACGAGCAGCATTGCAAGAAGAGTTTGCTGGATTAGAAAGAGAACAATTGGTGATTGAAGAAGATCAGGCTGAGCTTGAAAAAAAATCTGAGAAACTTAGAGTATGAATTATATGATGATTGAAGCTTATTCCAAAAATTAATAGCAATCTTTCCAATCTATTAAAGCGGAAAGCGACGCGTTAGAAGGTAAATATCAAGAGGCAAAGGATCAATTAGACTCTGCTGAAGTGGTGAGATCTCTCGTTCAATTAGTTAATGTTCGTCTCATTACCTTCCAGAATCATATGGACTTGGCTACAAAAAGGAAAAATTTGTTAACAATAGAGAAAGCTAAGGCTGAGAGATTTGTAGGACCAATCTCAATATTAGTTATAGTCAATGTACTTTACTCAGGCTGAAACAGCGAAGGATATGCCAGTTCCTGAGGGTTTTTCCAATCCTCCTGATTTTGATAAACTTCCAGCTTCAAGTATTTTGAATGAAGAAGTGGAAAACATAGAGACTGAAATAAAGCGGGAAGAGAAAATGTAATGTGCAACTGTTTTCTTATTTACCAAATTCATACAGACAAAGTGAAATGTCCAATCAGATAGAAAGGAAAGATGAACTGATAGATGATGCTATGTTCGCACACTTCTTCGAAGATTTCAAGACATTCAAAAGGAGTATAAAGATGAATCGTGAAATAGCTTCTGTGAGTTGACAACCTAGGAAGTTTCACGACTGAATTTTCAGAAACTTGCTGAATCTCTGCGTGTACGAAAAGAAAATTTCCCATTGTTACAACATGTCATAATTCAGCGACTTCAGAGTACTTTCAAGGATCTCATGCTTTATTGGTATGTTACTTCTCGTTGGACTGTTTCATCCCTCGTTTTAGTAAGTTCAATGGAGAAATTGAAGTCGATACACGTAAACGTCGTCTCAATGTTCGAGTGAGCAGAAAAGAAAGTGGTGAAAGTCAAACTCAACCAGCTCTGCAAGATATGAAAGGTCTGTCTGGCGGAGAAAGATCGTACACTACAGCCTGTCTTATAATGGCTCTCTGGGCTATCATGGACCATCCTTTCCGTTGCATGGACGAGTTTGATGTTTTCATGGATATGATTAATAGAAAGGTTTGCGAGGCGTTCATGATTCGTTACCAATATTTTTCAGATAATCATGAACTTACTAGTCGAACTTGCAACAGTGAAATATCCACATAATCAATTCATCTTCTTCACACCTCAGGGAATTCGCGAGCTTGACGATAAAGACCGCGTTGACATTTTTACAATGCAAAAACCTAGAACTGGATGATTCCGTAATTACTTCTCAAGCATGTCTTTCAATTTTTTAATTTTAATAAAAATGTTCTCATCCAATGCCTCGACTTATAACAGACTGGTTCATCGATGATTATATCTGTTTATTGATAAGATTGAAAGTTTGAATATGTCATCAGAGATAACACATATCATATGAACAATGCTCAAATATTTTATCCTATTGCATATCTGCGGTAATGTTTACGGAGGGACTAGGAACTTTTTCGCTTCTAACGGTTTCCTTATTTTCGGACACAGTAATATTGACGTTTTTCAGGTGTTGCTACGGCTGGGAACTACACAACGATAGAAGTTCAACACTTTCAGCCTTTACGAATAGTACTCCACTCATTGACTGGTAAATATATAGATAACTCCAAGATTTTCGATAAATTTTATGTGATGCCGATCTTTATGTCGGGTATAACCCAAGTGTGTCTTTTGAACTTCACGATCATAATGGCAGTTCGACTTCTTGCGGACTAGATTTCATAGATATTCCAGCTAATCCACGCCCAGTCTTCATAGCTGTATGTTCAAAATAATTACAAAAGAACTCCGTAGCATATTTCAGATTTATGGTCATCCCTCGTACAATACATCTGATTTTCATCTGTTGATTAATTTCGGGAAAAATTCGTCCTATAGCATAGGAGAGTTTGCTCTTTCTACAGATCAGATATACGATTGGGAACTGATACGTGAATTGAGTACAGCAGAAGAAACTGAAGATGAATATGAGGAAGATTCCTATCATTTTCTTGTGGGAATTGTGATAAGAATAATGGAAATTCTTTTAGCTGTGTTATGATAATGACTGTGTATTGTTCTCTCGGGTGTTTTATATTTCTAGTCTTCAAGTCATGAGATTCTAAATTTTGTATTAAAATGTAAATATAGCTTCTTTTCTATATTCTGGTTTTCCCATAATCCATATTTTGAATTAAACTCGTGTTTTATAACATGGTAAGGTTTAAGATGGCTTTGACAGATCCATTGGCTACATCATACCATCTTCAAACTTTCGATAAAGGTATTGATTCTATGAGTATAATGAATCAATTTGAGTTCAGGATTGCGATCCCGAGCTTTGGGAGATCAGTTGTCAACTGTGGTTAATACCTCTGTCTTACTTGACGACAATCCATTTCCTTTGTTCGTTAATCAGATAGTCGTTAAGCTCGCTGATGCGTTTCGTGATGGGTACGTCAGTGTTTTACTAACTTATCATATCCTAATGTTGTCATTCAGTTCGAATGAACTCAGATTGTGTGTTGCGCGAGTTCTATCTGAGTGTCATTCTCATCTTTCACTTGTTTTCTCGAGAGCAGAAATATTGAAAAAAATTCTGACTGTAAGTCACTCAAACGATCCTGAGGCAAGAGCACTAACTTTACAAATTCTGGCCAGTCTTGCTCCTGTTTTTCCTGATAATAAACAGGTTAGTGGATTTCTTATTCTGTATCATGAATTATTAAACTAGGTTCATCATTTGATTATGGAATCTCTATCAACTGAGAACGATTTGGAGTTCAAATCGGCTTGTCATGCAATGGCCGAAATAACAAAACTCTCAGCGTTCGTATCTGATATGTTCTTGGTTTCTAATGTAGATAATTGAAGGGATTTCGCTGACACTGTTATACCACTGTTATCCACATTACTGCAGTCTTCTGAAGCATCAATTGAACGGAAATCTTTACTCATTCCTGTTTTTGGAGGAATGAAAGCTATGGTTTCAACGACAGAGGTTATCCGATAGCCAAAATTCATTGCAATGAAACTCCTCGAATAAACTTCTTTTAGAAAATTTTCTTACTGGCTCATTCCATTCTTGAAACATACACGCATATGCCTTTGATATGCTCGCTATTGGAAACGATGACAAAGCTAGCTGAAGCAACGAGATATGCTATCCCAGATCAGGTAGTAAACAGCTAACATCTTGAAAATACATTATTCTTTAGTTGAACATTCTATTATCGGCGTTGAACCGAGCTGAAGACAATGTTGCCCTCGCCCTATCGGCTTTGAATGGGCTTCAAATACTCGCAAAATATTCTCACGTGTGGAATGAAGAGCATCTGAAAGTACGTTTGAAGCTACTGTATATTCGATTATTTACATTCTTATGTATCTTCAGATCATTTTAGACATCGAGCCTAAGTTGGAGCAGCGTCGGCTGATTTTCAATAAATTTCTGAATTTACTTATTACTCTCTCGCAGCATGCACGTCCTAATCAGTTGAGTTTTTTTGAACGTGGGTCAATCTATCCTATCTTTATGCGTAATTGGTTCTTTTAGAGGTTTTAACCCTATTGATCACGAGCTGTACAAGCCCGGATTATGAACAAAGAGTTTCATATCTTCAAATAGCTTGTAACGTTTTTCGCTCACAGCCCAACGATGTGTTTGCTCAACGATTAGTCAACTTCTTCATAACTTCAATAGATTTATCATTCCCTAATAACTTACTTAGAAAGGTTTGGAGATCAGTAAGGCGAATTACAGTTGGTTATTTTCAGTTCTATCGAGCTCTTGGAGATTTTTTCTGCTGTGGACATTTGAGTGACTCTAACATTTCTGACTTGTTGACCCCTCTTGTTCACTTGGATCGAAAGAAGCATGAGCACAAGATGCAAGAACTAATTAATCTTTTCTGTCGGTTGACCGATCATTTACCAATAGTTGTAACTACAATTCACGAATGGGCTAGAGGAACTGTTCAAATTTTGGTATTGACGATTTTCCCAGAAATATTTCTTTAATTCATCATTCTCAGGATGATTTGAGTCGAACTTCCATAGCGTTTCTTCTTCTTGCTCCCGGTGTGCATGTTCCTGACTCCAAATTGAATGTTATCCAGGGTAATGATTGGGAGAGGTTGATAGTTCTCATCAGATTGTTCTATATTTTTCATTACAGATACCGTGTGGCGAAAATTGCTTTCCGAAATGGCCATTGGAGGGAAGCTGCACTCATTAACTTGAAACATATTGATATTTCTGTGAGTTGTGATTCAGCAAAATAGTTTGAAACTTAATTCTAGAAATTATCTTATCAAAGCTCTCGGTGGATTTGTTTCTTACAAGAATTGTCTGCAGCTCAGGTCAGTGAGGTTACAGTCCAAGCCTACGAACAGCAGAAAAATCATCTTACCAATGCTTTATCAATTGTTGATGTAAGAAATACAGTTTGTATTTTCATTCCTATATGTTATTTTAAGGTCTTACTCACAGGAGTTCAGGATGGATCTGAGTTCCGTTTTCCCAGAGGTTTCACTAACTGTATGATTTTATCAAATCAAGCAGTTTTCTATATTTTGAGCGGGTTCTCCACATTCCAAAAATTACCTGAGCAATACAAAATGCCAGGGGCTTCAGCTCGCTTGAAAGCATTGGTTCGAAAAGTGCAGCATCGTGAAGATTAAAAAATGTCTATTCCAGATTTTACACGCTATAAACTCTCTGGAGTTTGTAACCACTTCTTGGAACATTCTTATTCGATCTTCCTATGGTGCGGATTACCAAACACACGATTACATTTCCATTCTCCAATGCATGTATACTATTATAAACTATGGACTGTTGTGCATCATCAATAGATCCTCTGCCAGGTTTTTCTTTATTTCTCCTTCTCCCTACTCAAAAACCTTATTATCAGAACTCCTGTTTTACCTAACTTACGAGTGGAAACAACATCATTAAAGAAAAGTTTAAGTCTTCTGAATTGGGCAAATGAACAGATGACATTGATCGATGGCAAAGATATTTCTGAAAAGGTGTGTTCAAAAAATCATTTTTTAATGTTTAATCCTTGATCTCAGAATGTTCACCACTTTTTACATGTCCTGAGCAAGCTCTGCTCGCAGCGTATTCAAATTCCTAGATATTTCTTCCATCAAGGCGAGTCCACAAACGGTGACGCTCGTGCTCATTAGCTCGACGAGTTTTGATCTCTTTCTTCAAAGAAATCTTCTTTCCTTACTAGTTCAGATCTTTTTATAACGTGTATTTGTTGTAATTCATACTCTTCTCTGTTTTGTTTTTGTTTTTTGAAATAAGATCTTATTTCATTTCAATATACTATTTATTCTTGTTATAACTTATGTTTGTGGTCACGTGTCTTGTTTTATTAGTATCTCTAATCATTGAAGCATAAAATGGATAAAACTTTGTTTCTCTGTGTGTTTCTGTACATCTCCGTTCAACATCGGCATTGATAACAGTTTCTGCGATATGAGCAGAGCAAATCAGATTCTTTTGTTTTCAGATTAAGTCCTCTTAGAAGCATTTATCAAGCTTGCGCAAGAACAGAATGAAGATTAAGGTATGATTCATGGGAGTTTATTCACTTTGAAGCTATTCAGTTGGCAGTAATCACAGGACAAAATGGCGAAGTTTCAGTTATGCCTGGACAGCTTTATCCTATTCAGGTTTTCTTGTTCTGTATCTGAGTACTAATCAAAAAGTCAGGTAGACGGTGTTATTTCTTCTAACCAAACTCGCCCCGTTCACTCCATAACGGTAAAGGCTCATATTCAATACTACATAGGCCAATCGGTACGCACAGCTGTCTCATTTTCCATGTTATAAAAATTTCATTATAGAACAACGCTTTCTACTCACAAGTTGTCAAACCCAAAGAGGGTTTGTACTTTCAAGCGCAGTTTCTTCTTTCTTTCAAACAGGCATTTCCAATAACTCTGCAACCATTCATACTATTATTTCAGTCATGTCAAATTGATTTCACTGTCGAGTTTACTGATAGCAAAACCTTACAAACATGGTACTCTGACACTAAAGCCTCTCTCAGAGTTCAAATCAATGAATGATTGGTACAGTTTTAAATAAGTTTTATTGATCTCAATGAATAAATATACGCAATTACTATAGTGTTCATGCAACCGGATTGGAAAACAAATTCTAAACTACAAGTGTGTTTTAGAGGAAATTAGGCTTGAGGGTTACGGAACTTCTCGCCAGCATAAATAGCTCCTTCTCCGAGCTCTTCTTCGATGCGGAGAAGTTGGTTGTACTTAGCCAAACGCTCTGATCGGCAAGGGGCGCCAGTCTTGATTTGTCCAGTTGACAATCCAACAACGAGATCAGCGATGAAAGTGTCTTCTGTTTCTCCAGAACGGTGGGAAACCATAACTCCCCAACCATTGGATCGAGAAAGACGAGCTGCCTCGATGGACTCGGTGACAGATCCGATTTGGTTGACCTTAAGAAGTAGGCAGTTGCAACTCTTCTTCTCAACAGCCATCTCAATACGCTTAGGATTGGTCACAGTGAGGTCATCACCAACAAGTTGGATTCCAGTGCTTCCCTTAAAGTTTGAGATATTTTTCATATATGTGCAAAACAACTAACCATGAATTTACCCCAGTTCTCCCAATCATCTTGATCGAAAGCATCCTCAATTGAGACGACAGGGTACTCCTTGATGAAGGATTGGTAAAGCTCAGCGAGTTGATCTCCGGTGAGCCACTTGCTGCTATCAGAATTAGGGTTCTTGAAGTCCAAATCGTACTTTCCATCTTTGTGGAACTCAGAGGCGGCAACATCCATTCCGATAGTAATCTTAATAAATTTAAATATTATTTATTTTTTCTTTTAGTTTTCACCTTTCCGGTGTAGCCAGCGTTAGCGATAGCAGTGTTCAAAAGATCGAGTCCTTCCTTGTTATCTTGAATGTTTGGAGCGAATCCTCCTTCATCTCCGACAGCTGTAGCATCGAGACCATATCTAGAAAGAGTAAGTGAATTTCTAAGTTATCGATTCCTACCTCTTCTTGATTTCAGCTTTGAGGTGATGATAGACTTCACTTCCCATTCGCATAGCCTCGGAGAAGCTCTTGGCTCCTGTTGGAAGAATCATGAACTCTTGCATGGCAAGCTTGTTTCCAGCATGAGAACCTCCGTTGATGACATTGAAGGCAGGCACAGGGAGAACAACCTGTTTTTTTTAATATATGATTAGATGAATTTATAATTATATCAGCAAACCTGTGAAATTCCAGCGAGCTCAGCGATGTATTTGTAAAGAGGAAGCCCCTTGTGTACAGCACCAGCTTTGCAAACGGCAAGAGAAACACCGAGGATAGCATTAGCTCCAAGGTTAGATTTGTTCTCAGTTCCGTCAAGAGCGAGCATGAAATCATCGATGACTTTCTGTTGGGTTACATCGAAGTTCTACAAATCGTTTAATAGGTTAGATGTTTACATGAAATTTAGTGCTACCTTAGCAATAAGAGCTGGAGCAATTTTCTCGTTGATGTTGGACACAGCCTTCAATACTCCCTTTCCATGATGAACGCTCTTGTCCAGATCACGAAGCTCAAGAGCCTCGTGTACTCCGGTCGATGCTCCTGAAGGAACAGCAGCGCGGAAAACTCCTGATAGAGAGAAAGTCCATTATCTTTTGTTTATTCACTGTTACCTTTCTCGGTGTAAAGATCAACTTCAACAGTTGGGTTACCACGAGAATCGTAGATTTGACGAGCGTGAACTTTGGTGATTGGCATGGCTGAAATTAACAGACATGAAATATGACCAAAATGCAAAAAAACGATTTATATTTTAAAAAAACGAGAATGGTTCAATGATTCTGCAAAGACAAACTGGAATAGCAAACGCCATCAGGTATTGATGGCATGTTTTCGCAAAAAGGCTCTCTGATAAGAGTCGGTAAGGTGATTGTCTGTTCAGGGTTATGAAGATTCCGCCCCGAACAAAACTCAAACATAAATGGTGAGAAGCAAATGATCACTGGATCCGACTGACGAAGTCTTCGAGAAGAGGGTGGAAGGCCACAGGTTAGTTGGAAACACAAATTACACTCTGTCGAAGATGAAGAAGAGAAAAGTTGAAAGGAGCAAGCCAGGCGCTGAGACTGGCCAACTGCATCGAGGGATAGCAAAAAGAAGTCGATAGGCATGTTTCGAGCAGGAAGCACGCAGAGTGTACGTGAGCTTCATGAGAAATTTTTGAGAAAGCTGTTCCTCTGCTGGACATTCGTCAATCGTTCACATTTCGCAGTGTTTTCATCGATTGCCGACAAAATATTCGCGTAGTCACGTATTTGACTTGACTGAAGTTCATGAGTCTACACTAAACTTGAGGGTGATAGAAAACGATTCGAAATCTTCCTCAAAAGAATGCGAGCATGAACTAGATCAAGAAAGCGGGATAGGCTCTTTCCGTAGCAACTGCTGCTTGAGAAATGGCTGAGAAATAGATGAGACGAACCGAAGAACCAATGGACAGGAATAAACACTGATTGCCAACAATCAAGACAACTGAGATTGACATTTCATAAGAAGAAATGGAAAATTCACAAGAAACATCAAAAACAATAGTCATATTGACTGTAACATACTTTAGTTCAAGGACGACAGTGAAACAATGAACAACAATCCATTTACGGATAATGCGCTATCTTAAGTGCTTCTGGCAGCTCAGACGCCGAGCGTTTCTTTCAGTTCAGAATCAGTAGATCAGACGCAAACTACAGGTGTTTCATGACAAAACAATACAAAGAGGTAGAGATCGCTCAGTGATTAATACTAAGGCTGTGAAAGTTCAAAGGAATGAAAGGCAGATAGGTATGACCATTCAATCATGCTACAAACATAACACCATCTTCAGAAGACCAAAGGAACTTCCAAGTAAAAGTAAAAATCTTGCAGCCGACAGCAGTTCATGCTGCAAATCAATCGATTGTTCTGACAATAAGAGGAGTCTGTCGAACTAGTATGTGGAGTTTACAATCTTTTTTTGAAATTTATTGAAAAAGCAAGAGACGGCGCATTCATTTTCCAAAAGTTCAAATATTGCGAAGAACAGTTTGCGTTTTAAATCGTTGCTAGAATATTCTAGTACAACATTCAAATACTTAGAAGGCGATAGATTAATGAGGCAAATTTATCTAATCATACTATAATCTTATGAAAGTGACTGAAATGAGTGAGTGGTGTGAAGCAAAATTTAAAGAGTTACTCAACTCGATCGAAAGCAGAGGCGCGTCGCAAAAAGCTTATCGATTGAAGGCGGAGTTTGTGACTAAAACAGCTTCAAACTAAAAAACATTTACAAAGGCAATTGAGCTTGGAATCTTTTATTTCAACAAAGAAAACAAATAACAATAATTACTACTAGCTATATCTATCACACACGTTTGAAAGATTTGGTTGATAAGTTGTATCGCCTATCCGGGTACCTGAAATTAGCAATTTGAAAAATGTTAAAAAACAGAATTGGAGATCAACCTATCCATTTTCTTCGTTATTTCTGCATCCCAGGGCATATCTTCGTCAGGTCTCTTATAATCGAAAGTCTGGAGTTCAAAGAATAATAATTAAATGCAGGATTATTCAAACCTGATCTTCATAATCAAACCAATCCTCCTTAGGCTTGAATTGACGCAACAGTCTTTTGTTTCTCAAACTGATCACTTGCCCACCTGTGCCAGGAAAAGCGGTGATACCTTAAGAGTTTATGATTAGAAGCGAACAAAGTTACTTTGGTAACCTCCATGCCAAGAATCAGTGTCATTCGGATTATAACGAACGGGTTGTTCAATTACATGGACATTTAAAGGTTTACCTTCTTTTCGAGCAAGCCTAAAATATTGATGTGAAAAGTTAGATAATGTATAACTTACTTAGCATATGAGTTAATATTCTCTACAGGAGTGTTGTAGAATTCAATCAAATCTTCAACATTTTTTATTCTCAAAAGAGCTGAATTCGTTGGAAAATGATTGAAGTGCTCGCCAGCTCTTACAATTAACTGTGAAGAAATTAATTCGGTTTCATGGTAACTAATAATTTACCTTAGCTTTTGCTTCAACATCGTCTGATAAACGAAACTCCAGCACATTACCCGTCTTTTCGACAGACAAAACCTTTTTCGATATATTTAGAATTGTTTCTTTTACATTACTGGGAGGCTTGTAGTTGTACATGTATTTCATTTGTCTATTCAACAATAAAAATCGCTTGAAATGATTTACTCACCCCCTGGCACGTATAGAGTCTATGTCGATATGACCATCCACAAGAAGATCGGCATCGAACCCAGTTTCCTCTGATTTTATTCCTTTTCTAGGAGCATCAGTACGAACATTCTCTAGGGCAGATCTTAGTTCTTTCTTAAAAGAAAAACATAAGTGAGTATACTGGCGAATCGCAAACCTGTTGAGAAGGACTTAGTGATTGTGTGGGTTCTTGTTGCTTCGGAGACAGAAATGACAGAAGCCCACGACTTCTTACATACAGCTGAGATGTTCGAAACATCTGAAAAATAGAAAATTGATATTTTTTGCTTCTTTCAGTTGGGCACAAAACGAAGAAACTCTTCGTGCAATCGGCGTGTGAAAAACGATACTTACACACAATTGACGTCAACTGTGTTTTTCACTAGTCTACTAGTTTTTTTCGAAGTATATGATCATATAAAGAACAACAAGTGATGATGGGATCATAGTCGTTGAAGCTTAACCCGGCAAGCTAAGTACTGCCGTGGTCCACACATATTAGCTATAGAGCGTAATTTAGTTTTATTGGAAAAGGAGATGGGTTTGACTTTTTAGGAAGAAAAGCTTCTTTCCGCCAACTATATCGATTTAAAAGCTCCCTCAGTGAGAATTTGGCTATTAAGCTGCAAACGTTTTCATCAGTTGTCTGCTGAACATTACAAAGTCGATTAATTGTAAAAGTAATGCAAGTTGTTCCTGAGTTTCTCTCGATATTTACCGCTTTTCCGACTTCACTGCTGGGTAGTCTAGTATACTTCGTGTTCTAATGAATATGATACGACATCGAAATCTCATTCAACTCTTATAAAGTATTTTTTTTCTATTTTGTATTTGTGTTATCCTCCCATTGAGCATATGTTATCGCATTTCGAATTACTCCTGATCATTTCCTTGACCATCTGGGGTCGTCTGAATAGTACTATGAGTACATGGCATGCATATTTGATATTTATATCCGAGTATTTCATGAATAATTGATTGAAATGCTGTACTAGCCGTTCTTTTCTCTCCTTTCTCCATTTCGACTCCAAATCCTTGCCTATAATCATTTCTTTCTAGCGGTATGACCACCAAGAGCTCTTCGGAGGCAGCATTTGAAGATGTAAGTTTAACTTATGTTTCGGATAACTATATAATATACGTTCAGTTGACGAAGTTTGAGAACACCGTACTTTACGGAATCGAGTTGTACGACAACTTGGAATCAGTCTTCAGCTATTGTTTTGGAGAAAAGAAAGTAATTCTCGGTAAGAGAAGTGAGGGGGTGCGCTCCAAAAATGTGATCTTCCTTCAGATGTTGTTTCTACCATAGCAAATGACTTCAAGCTATTAAAGCCATGTTCAGACAAAGTTTTGAGTTTGCTCGAGTTTGCTGAAACCGACATGAAACCACTACTCAGAGATAAAGTGGCTAAAAAAAGGTGTTTTTATTATATAAGTGAAAACCATTTGTTTGTACAGTATATCCCGTTCAAACGAAATTTTATTAGCTGAGAGGATCAAGCTCTACTTTGAAGTTTATAGATGTCGACAAATAGAGGTATTTTCTCGGAGTATATCCAAATGAATGCTATCTTAACAGGGTATCATACCGCCATCGATGCTACTACAGTTTGACTCAACAATGGACGTAATGGAGGGCATCATCAACACATTTGGTGAGTGTAATCTTCTATTTTTGTTCTGAATAATTCAGTTAAGAATATCTTACGAAAGACCAACTTTCTGAAGGAATTCTGCAACATTTCCAACAAGTAGGTTAATATATGTGTGTTCCTTTCGGACAAATTCGTCTTTCTTGCGTTGTCTTTTTTGTGTGTACAGGTCGAGATTTAGGACTTCAAAGGAACTAAACCTATTACTCCGATATATATGAGGGAGGAAGTATATTCAAAGCCTGATGTTCCCATCGTTGATAATGTGGGTCTGTTTGTTCAGAAGATCAATGAGGTAAGATTCAGAAGCATATTCAAGTGAAGAGATTGTGTTTCAGCTGGAGAAGAAGTTGAAGAAGAAAAACTATGATAAGAAAATTATGGATAATATTCTTAACTCGGAATCATTTCATTCGTTCACGCCTTCTACGAAGTTCCCTACCAAGATATTCACGAAGTTTGATATTTGCTATCAAACAAGATTATCTCAGAAATTCAGATTGTTACCATACTGGAAAGATATGTTCAACGAGAAGAATAAGTGTGGCTTGAAATTCATGTTGGTTTTGGAAAAGATTTTTGGATTGTCATCTTTAGAGGATAAGGTTGGGTGACATTCTTTATTCTATTTCTGTTTTCGGTTTTCAGAAACTCTTTTTCACTGAAGTATCTGAGAAACTATGTTCTACTTCTTTGTATGACCACAGAGACTACATTGAGGTTTGAGGAAATTGCAAAGGTTAATCAGGGAATTTCTCCAGAATTTTTCAACTCGCCTCGCTCAAGCTATAAATCATCTTGGCGATCATCAAGATTTAGTTTTACATGCCGAAAAGTTTGCAGAAATTCAGAGCCAGGTCAGATTTTAATTATTTTTTTCTTAAATAGGATTTTCAGCTGCTTTTCTTCATCATCATGTCTCCATATCACTCTGTTGAAAAGATACTCCGTCACGGTATTGAGAACAAGTGTGTAGTCCCTGCCATCCAAAAGGTATGATGAAAATGAAAATTTGCGACTACTGCCTTCTTTAGGTTTTCCAAGCAGCGTTTCCTATGTTGCAACTCTCTTTCAAAAAACAATCAGAAAATGCTGAGCCTTTTTTGATAACTGTGATCAAAGATATTTTCGAGGAGGAAAACAACAGGTACTGTTCTCAGAAGATTCGTCAATAGTGATTGTTTTATTTCAGGTTCAAATCGCCGGAGTTTCAGGATGTCTTTGTCTATCTGGTGACGTCTCTATGTCGACGCAAGTTGTCCGTTCATAAGGAAAAGGACTCTGAAGGTAGCTCTTAACGTTTACGTTTAAAGTTATCCAAAAATGTTCAGGTAAAGTAAAGGAATCTTATGGAGATGTTATTGAGGAAGCTATACTCAGTAGCTCATCTCTTTTCCAGCATTTCATATTTCAAAAAATATTGTCACAAGACGCTGAACGCTGGGTTCAGATGACTCTATTGAAGCTCATCCTGAGGTTATCCTATTACTGTAAATCTCAATTATCCGCGTTTTCAGAGTTCTACAGAACATTGGAGCGAAAACCACAGCTTTGAAGTGGAGCGAAACATTAGGCTATCATTGGAAACGTGAGTCAAACATCAGGAAAAGTTTTCAAGAATGCTAAGCTTCAGAAGCTGCATGCGTTCCTGCTCCAGAATTTCTACTTCTGATTCACTGTTTATACAACCAATATGAAGGAACAGATCAACAGATGGCCGACTTGTGTCGATCCATTCTTAAGGCATTCGGGAAAAAATTGCAGAGTAAGGCTCCTTAATTTTTAAATGTTCTCTCAATGTCTTCAGATGATAACATTGTGTTCCATCCTCTGACTTCCAAGTTCATCCTGGATAGATTCAATCAATATCCATGGTTTGTAAAAGCAACGTTATGCAACTGGTTTGATACAACTTTGGGAAGTCCCAAAATGCAGGTATCTATGATTCTAACATGTTTGCAACCTTCTTCCTATCTAGATTCCAGCAGGACTCTTTAAAGCATTGCCTCTGAATGTTCAGGAAAACTGCGAGCAAATTATTGTGGATTTTGAATATGCTCCGGTTAACTGTTTCTTAAGATCAGTTTTCGAACTAGCACTGTTCGATGTAGACATGGCTCTGGATTTGCTAAAAGAAGGTTTTAGATATTTAGAAGAGGTTCAGATTGTTAATGTTCAAATTTCAGGGTTGAGTCTTCCTCCTTCTCCAGTTCTTCTGTTGGAGCAGATTGCTATCAGCTTAGTTGAGACCTTCGGAAGATCTTTCGCTCCTAATAGGGTAGCTTCCTTGACCCCTGTTTTGAACCGCTTCAACGAGGTTTTTTTTCAATTCATATTAATCACAGCTAAAGTTCAGTTACTCGGGCCGTTCGAATCGAGTCATTCCTTGAAATATCTCAGCAATTTCACCTATTGGGGACTTCAGTTCATCCAACCTATACTTATTGTAGCAAGAGCTACTCAAATAGCCTTTTACAGAGTAAGAAGAGTTTCAGTATTAATATTAGCAAGTCATACTTCAGGCATCTCTTCCTAAGGATCAGACATCTATTCCCTTATCAGACGCCTCTTTGGATAAAGTGGCTGATCCATTAACTGTAGCTGAAGAGCTTCTACATGGTTTCTGCGATATGACCAGAATACATCTAGAAACAGAAGTAAGATAAAAAAATTAGACATCATTTGATGATTGTTTCCAGATTGTGTTACTCAGAAGAAATAAAAACAATATGACATCTTTGCCAGGGTGATAGGTAGCTAGAAAACATAGTTAATTAGCAACATTCAGAGTGAGCGAAGAAACAATGCTGGGATTGAGCAGACAAAGACCTGCAATTCTCTCATTACAGCTGAGTGTATTATTCAATGAAGCGATTATGTTCACTCAACTTTCCCAGCCGGTAAGTTCTGTAGAAAAAAAAACATTTTTTGAAAAGTTTTTGTTACAGAAAGTAACTCCCCCACTCAAAATTTTGATCTCAATGCTGTCTGATTTCATTACGGAAACAACCGAGAAACAGAAAACAAAGTACTTAGATGATTTGGAGATACCCAACGTCAAGGTATTCATATCAACAGAGAAGCTTAACAGATTTTCATTTCAGTCCTGGACAGTCTACGCTTATGCATCCGTTTAAAGTGAGGTGTCTTAGAGGCTGGAAGTGCTTAGCCTTTCCAACTCAATTGCTTCGAGCTATGATACACAACCCTTAAAACAAATGAAGAAACTTGCTGCCTAATCTTTTCTAATTTTTTTTTAAAAAATAAATTATTGCAAAAGTAAGGCGTTTGAATCCGGCGGGAAGTAACGAAAATTATTTCTGCGAATATTGCAAACCATTCGGCGACAGCGAACACAAAAAACTTGTGAAATCGATGATCTGTGTATCCACATGTCTTGAACTATTTAACAATCTAAATTAAGTTTGGATTACCAGTAAATGTTACGAAATAAATAGTCCATTGTGTAACTTAGACCACCCGTGTTGTTATCATGAGTAGTATCTCGGTGTTTGCTTTATGTAATTGATTTTAAGCTTCAGCACAATAATCTTCAAAAGTAATATAGTCTTCTACGCAAGAAATATCTGTGACTGATTGGGAGAGCGAGGCCATGCAGTTATCATTGTCTGTAAAATATTGATCAGGTCACCCGTTGAAGGTATTTTTTTCATACCCCCAATAGCGTTTCTAGCGTATATTGTTTTGAAAACTTCTTTAAACGCTTTGTTACAACAGAAGTCGTCATGAAATCGTTTCTCGTGTAATGGAAAATAGTGATTTGTACTGTTTTCACATCCAAAACGTTAAGGTTGTCAATATCTTCAGGATGTTCACAAACTTTAGTATGATCTGCTTGTTTTTTGGTTTATGAAACCTGCGACAATCGAAAATATGAGTTACCAGGTACTTGGGTGACACAAAATGTTCCTTAAATTATCCTTTACGAGACCTCTCTTGAAAACTTACTTCTATATATGGGCATTGTACTAGTGATGCACAAAATTCCAGATTGTTTCGGTGTCTTGGACAAGCCATTTACCCGAAAATGGATCTGAAAAAGAGGGATGATGAGGTCGTTCGATTAGTACGTAAGTATGTTAATGAACATGAAAACGATTTTGAAGAGGAGCCCAAGGAACCTTTCCCTCAGGTAATTGAACACAACAATTAGTACTTTATGTTGTTCACAGGATTGTTGTGGTCAATCATGTAAGCCCTGTGTTTTTGACATTCATCATGACGATGTGGTTCGATGGGCTAAAGAATATGCAAAACAAATTAAATATGGTAATAGTTGAGAGGATTAGTCTATTTAAACTTTCTATTTTAGACGACAGCACTTTATACCAGTACTTATTCGATGATTGCCCTGCATCGGACGAATCAAAAGAATGGTTTCTCAGCGAATTCAGGTTTACACTGTAGTTAATTCTGTTGATAACAAATAATTTAGGTCCTTAGAAATAATCGAAAAGAAAAGTCTCAACAACAACACAGTACTTGTAAAACTCAGAACTCCAAAACCGCTTCTCATACCAATTGCTAGCCATATTCGAATAAGGTGCGCTAATTTACAAGTTTACATATTATGACTACTAACCACCTGTGACTGTCGAACAATTAGAAAAATGAGTTATTCATGCATGCCACGTAGAAATTGAACTTCAGTGAGAAATTAGAATATTGATTCTTTTCAAGAAATAATCGACAACGAGTAACAAATTATACAATTCGAGAAGACATACAATCTCAGAATGCGATAGGGAACGGTTTCATACAGTTTTGTCCTCATCTTTCTGATTTTTCACTTTGCTCTGCGACGTTTTCTCCGTCAGTGTTTTCTCCTGAAGGGTTGCACCGACGTGCACAGAATCGGATTCCATTACTTCTGTTCGAGCCGCCGTCTATACGAGGTATTGTTATCTTATTATTTTAATTTGTTATACCTGCGCTAATCGGTTCTCCACTGCTGCTAACTTCGTTTTGTATTGCCCTCGTTCGATGGGGTAACCCCGGGCATATTCGAAAGCTGAATTTTCGAGAATAGTTTAATCATTACTTTGAGCATAGCTTACCATCTATAGCCTGTTGTGCAGACCATTTTTCACGTTCCACTAGGTACCGACAAATTAAATAGCCTGTTCGGTTAAGACCATGTGTGCAATGAACTCCTATTAAAGAATCTGAACAAGAAAGGAAGCGTCAAGTTCGGTCTAATCATTCTAACCATCATTGTGAGATCTGACATAATCGTCAACTATTCGGTTGAAATGTTGAACAACATCCTCACGTTCATGAACTTCGTGCCCCGGGCAACGAATTTTTCTGAAACTGCTCTATGCTGGGAACAGGCTGTTATCAGCTTACATGTAGTCTATTCCATTTCTTGACCAATCAGATGAGTTATAGTACTTATCGGTATTTGTGAGATCGATGACCAACCCAATAGATTTCCCTGATTCCCTAGCCTGAACAAAAAAACAATAAAAGCGAAAAGGAACACAGCGTACATGTTGTAGTAGTATTTCAATATCGAACGATTTCTCCCGTAGGTTAGAATTTTTGCATATGTGGGAATGTAGGGGTGTCTTGAAAGGTAAAAACCTTGTTCCGGTGACGTTATCTCCTATGGCGTCATACTTTAACCACCTGTAAACACACAACTATGCTTAGATTAAGTTTTTTTGAAAATACCTGTCTGGGATTTTTTTACCGCCGCCTCCTCTAGGCAACTGTTCCGTATGACGATGACGATGTCTATCGTTGTAATGATAATAACTCATTTTATAACTGTTTTTGAACTATTCTTCGAATATAGCAATTAATTCATAAATAAGGTAAAGAGATAAATAAGGAAGCGTTCATAATGTGGAACGACGCTATAAGCGTATACTGTAGCATTGGAGCATGCTTCGATCCAGTCTTGACCGCATCATCTTTATTAGGAAAGACACAGCCTGTAAAGCAAGATAAATTAGTTCATACTTGAATCTATCGCATTCAAGGAAATGTATGACCGTTCCATACAAAGTGAAGAGTATAAAAGATATAAAATCACATTCTCTGATTCATTCGCTGCTCGTTTGCATATATGCAAATCCGGCTCCGTGATATACTAGATGCTTCAAACTAAGTAATGACCACAGGATTAATGGCTTCCGAAAGTATGAACTCTAGAATTTCATTGAAAGCTAGTTCAATCTATCAAGGCATTACTTTGTTAACACAAGGTCATCTAGATGATTGTCGATTCAATCCATCTGAATGTCGTTGTACCTTTTGACCCTTTTCAGGTCGTTTAGTGCAAATTGTCTTTTAAGTTATTGTTGAAACATTCATCGCCTATTGCTCCAGATTCAAACATTCTTCTGCATCTTCTTTTTAGCATTCTTGAGACATTCATCTGTTTCTTCACGAAACCATTTATCTATAATATTGCTTAAAACTTGAAGGGATTGGAAGGTTATCTTCCTTCTTCTCGGTGAAAGTATGCATTGTTCCCTATTCTTTTGCTATGTATGATATCCTTATCAGATGATAATTTCCTGGACTAACAGAACGGAATTCGGTTACATTTTTCACTGTTTGAAGCCAATTTAAATTGTACCGCATCAGCTGAGGAGATGTTTTCCGGTAGAGTGTCAGGATTAGGGCCATCACCAATCGGCTATGAAAAGTTTTCAACAGAACACTTTGATGTCATACTCATCCTGACGATGACCTCCATTTCCCCATATAGCCCTAAACTGCAGTCTGTCTATCTGTATTTTCCATTTCCTATATCTCTCTTCCTCTTTCATCACCCTCCTTCTTTCTGCTCTGTTTCTCCGTGAAACGAACACTGTTTTCTTTCTCTCTCTATCGCTTGGCTCTTCTATCTTCTACCCCCTGTGGGGGTTGGTAGAGGATGAGATTGGTGAAGGTTGTCTGTACAGCCTTTTATGCGGTAGTAGCCTTGGCCGTTCTATCGATATTATCTTTACTGATTCTGCTTGACCAGTATGCCATAGTTATTGTTAGTTGTTACTTTGCTCCAGATTGTTTTTTCTTCATAATGTATTTGATTTTTTTGTTGATGCAAAGATTAATAATTAACTGAAGAAAAGTGTGAGAGGGGAAAGAGGAAGATTGAGGCAAAGTTGTGATTGTTACTCTACAATAGAGTAACCTGCTCAATGTGGAATACTATCATATATAGACAGAGAGAGAGAGAGAGTGACTGCAATTAAATGAGACACAGAGAACCGGAAATCACCTGGAATTTTCTCTGTGTCTTCTTCTTTGACTTTATTGAAGAAATACTTTTTTTTTCGTTTCTCAAAACAGCCTCATCTATATTACATGTTTACCACATACCATCTTACAGTTTCTTTCTTTGTCAGTTACTATTTACGTTCTTTTCAAACATTTCATTTCTTTGTTTCCTTTTATTTCTTCAAATTCCATTTAATCAAATAATTTTCGGCATTTTCTGTCGAAAACATTGAGCTTCTTGACGGTTAAAGAGTTCAATTGCAGTTTCTCCGAATCGAAATGTCACAGATTCTCTTCCGTATTTCTATTTATCATCGATGTACTGAAGCGTATGCTTCTCGGAAGAGAACTGACATCCAAATCATTTCATGAACTTTGTCTGACGTGTACTTCTTGTTCATCGATCCTTTTCTAACATTCATCACCCGAATCAGAAAAGTTCGTGAGGTTTCATCAATGACGTTCAGTCTTGACAATCTCCAGAAGTCTCGTCCTGTTCTCGAACACCGATTTCTCGCACTGAAACAAAAATGTTCGGAAATATTCTCCTGATGAAGCGTGAACCAGCGAAGTTTCTATAAACTTGTTGTTTTTTCTCCAAAATTCATTTCTTGACCGGATTGTTCAAGAACGCATTCCTGAAAAAAGTCTAAAAGTCGACTACTCCGTGTATCTCTCGTTCTCTCTTGTAATCAGTATTAATCGAATAGTGGTCGCGCTTCTTGACCGTTTTCTAGCATCCATCTCGCACCTGACCCTTCATCTTATCTTTTTTCTACAATTTTTTTATTCTTTCGTATACTGTATTATCACGAAATATCACATCGAGAATGCTACCATCTTCGAACGCTAATCATCTTATTCATACTCATTATTGTTTGCAAATATTTTTTTGTGAAAGTTCTACTCCTCCCACTCACCTTTCTACCGGTTTGAGAAACAGTTTAAGGTTGAAAACAACAGTTCTTCCACAATCGAAGACAAAAAACTGTCATTGTGGTTTTTTACTTCGAAACAGTTGGTAACAATCGTAATTACTGTGAACATATTTACTTCTTAGTATCTTTGTTTCATTTCCTTTTTTTCTTTCATTTTCATTTTTACTCGACTTTCAGATGACGACTGACACTGAGCTACGTCATCGCATTTCTGCTTCGGCTGCTGGATCTGATGTTCAGACAAGTCGGAACATGGGTGAAAAGCATAACGATGCTACTACTTCCTCATCCACTGATAACAACAATTGTGGAGAGAAGAAGAAACCAATAGGAAAAAAGTTGGATGATAGCTGGATTCAACCCCGTTTTCGTCGACTTCTCTCGCATACTGTTATGTTAGCTTTCTACGGATTTTGGTTCTTATTTGGACTTCTTGTTCTCCGCAAAACGCAGAACGCTATCGCTGCTGTTCGATATGTTAAGAGTCATGGAGATTCTGTTGCCATTCGATTGATTGAGAATTCTCCAGAATTCGAAGAACTCATCCAAACATTAGATCGAGAGTTTACTCGACCTCCAGCATTTCTTCTCCTCAATCAGTATGCTCTTAACATGACGTACAACTTCCTTTGTAACACAGCAACACTCGAAGGAGTTCACGATCGTCTTATCTTTGTTACTTTGGATACAATTGCACGAGATGAACTGAAGAAAACTTGGCCTCAAATCCGTCAATTCCACTGGCCTACACCAAGTCTTTATGTAAGTTTTGTTTTTTCTTCCAGCTCACAAAGTTCTTCTTCACCATTTTTCGTCATAACTTTGAAAAATAAAATGTATGAGCTAAACCGTAAGGCCAGTTCCTGTGGTACTTTAAGGTTGAACCGGTTTCTTCGTTTTGGTTAAATCTGCCGTAAACGGTTTGGGTTGCCTTATTAAGGGTTTTTTCCAACAGTTTTCGCGCATCTAGCTCAGTAATTAAGCGGATAAAACGTAGATATTCCGTGTTTATCTGTCAATTTTCATTCTTTGCTTATCCATTTCTCTGAAAGGGAAAGAGTGAATGAGTGATTGAGAGAAAGAAAGGATGTTCGTACACCATGTAAAGTGCACAAGTTTTCGAAATTTGTAGATATTAATCTGTAAGGAACCTTGCTATTCATCAGAAACGCTCTGAAAACATTTTTTCCTGGGTTATTTGACGTAAACCACAGTATTCTATAGCTGATCTGTTCTGTTTGAGATCAACCGGAAGATCTTAACTTTCTCCTGATAAATCTCAGTCTATGAATTGTCATAAGGGTTTATCCCTCTTATGAGAATTAGTTTTCTTTGAGAAATTCATTGAATAGAAGATCAAATTGAACTATTTGAATCTTGAGAGGTGAGGAAATGAGAAGTATTCTGAATCACAAGGTCATCGTTCATCATGACATGACGAATATTCATTTTGAGTTTATCCTCTTCGTTTCTTCGTTTTCTCATAAACATTTTCCCATCATGTTGGATTGTATTGACCGCAATTCCCGATAGAACGTGCCTTGTGTGGAAAGATAGATGGATGAATGACGATTATTGAAGAAAAATCAGTCATGTGTTATAATACTTTATTGAAAATTATAAGAACATAAAATTAAACGAATAAATCCTCTTCTACAATTGACGTTATGGAATTGAAAGGACAGGTTCAGCACAGGTTCACATTTGTTCTTCCGGGAAATATGTGGGAAATTTCTACAAAAGCCTCAACATCAGACTTTTTTTTGATTTTTAACTATTTCTGATTGGTACAATTTCAGAAACCGTTCAGTTTCGCCGAAGGCCCATATCAGACTATCTATCTTCTCCGATCGAATTTGGCTGTATCACTAATTCGTCGAGGAAAATCCTTCTGGATGATGCAACAAGATACTTTCTGGAGAAGAAATCTCTTCGAGCTAGGATATGAGGATGATATGTCTTACGATGCTATATTTGATCAAATTGGAATTGATGAGCACAGTATGAGAGCTGAATGGGTTAACGGTGCGTTTTATTTCTTTCAATCGAATTTCTTTGTTTTGTTATTGAGCACATACTTAATCAATATATATTCATTTTAGGAGCCAACTTCTTCATTCGAGCCAACAATGAAACTTTGGAGTTCTTTGAACGTTTGTCAGACAAACTAGCTCATTGGTATACACCTGATATGGGAGTTATGATCCATCAATGCCACACATGGGAAAAGCCTCGCTGTGCTTTCATTCCCCACAAGTATGTTCATCCCTTATCTATCAAAATATTAATTTTAAAACAATTTTTGAATGTTTTTGTCACAAATTTTCTTATTGTTGACATTGAAAGCATTGAGTTTTGCTGAAGAGACAGGTGCTATTCTTGTTCCACGTGCAATGGTTTTGAAGTTCCATATAAGGACATGAGTTGTTTTCTTCTATGGAAAACATCATTCTATATAAAAAGGGTCGAGTGTTGAGTGAAGGGAATATCTATTGATCTGAAAATTAGCATAGTAGGTAATGTAGGCTGAAGATGAGTCATTCTAGACAGTCGTGACGAACAGAGCGGTTGTATTGTTCTTTAACTATTTCAACTTCATCAACATATTGTTGAATATTTTGCTTTATTCTTGTTTATTTTGAATGAAAACATCTATCATGTTTTAAAGAGACTCTTAGAGTAGATGGGAGAGAGCAATTGAAATATTTTAAAATTAACATGCATTTGTCTCATATTCACTAACAATAAAATTGAATATAATAATATGAAGAGGGTTGTTACAATTATTTGATTTCAGGATTGCTCATTCATGGGAATGGATGTACACAGCTCAGAAAGATCCTCCATATATTCTCCAATTAGATTGTGAAACTGATGGTGGCTCAAAATTGATGCAACTCGGAAGATTTGGTTTTCATTTCACGAATGGCAATGGAACTTGCAATTTCCAAAAGGTTTTCCAATTTTAACACAAGATGAATATAAAAAAATTCTTTTAAAGGTTCAACAAGCTCGACTTCGAATGGAAGAAGGCAAAGTAGATGTTTCATATACGAATGTTCGATTCTTCCCGTCTTGGGGTCGCTTACAGTTCAAAGCCTATTGGATGATTGTTGATTACATTCTTTGGACTCCAATTATTGGACCATTCCTCAAGCCATACTTACCTCTAGTTGGCTATATATTAATGATAACTATGTGATATGGTTAATACTTAAAAGGAACAAAAAGTTAGAGCTTCTATTATATGTTCCGAATCCTGCCCCGCCTTAGCCTTCCAGATATTTGCATTTTTCACTTTTTTTCCTCGCACGATCTCCGATTCCAAAAGCCAATAGAACGAACGAAGTTTTGTCGAACAGAGTAAATGAAGAGAACTGCATGTCTCTCAATTAAATACTTAAAAAAATTTTTACATTAAGAGACTCGTTATTAATTAAACTCTGCTCCTTCGCTTTCATTTTGAAGAAATACAATAAAGATTTCTATTTCCCTTATTCAGTTTCAAACAACGTATGCATGAATAACTCGTTTTTCAATTTTTTTCTCTTCACAACTAAAATATTCAAAGATTTCAGAAATATTTCGTAAAATAATTCAAATTTTCAGGCAGTCTATAGATAATCATTTAATCTCTCGTCAATACACTCCGACATTCGTAGCAAAAGATTGCATCACAGTTCCAATTAAGGTAGTACACATGAAATCATTTTTACTTTATCCTACTTGTTTCATTTTACAAGTAATAGTCTTGGAATGAAATAAAAATGATTCTTATATAGATATATGATGACGGCAAGTTATCCAGTAATGTCCGTAATTGGCAAATCGGTGATTTCATTGATTGTCGAGGACCGTATACGGAAGATAATGATTGGCTTGATGTAAGTTGTTTGATTAGCTCTGTCATTTCTCATTCAAGTTTAAATGCGAATATTAGTTGTTCTTTCCACAACTTTGGTTTTCTTCCTCATTTATTTGTGATAACAGTGAGTGATGGAGAAAAGAAAAAGCTAAAGACTGGACATAAAGCTGAAAAACAAAAAATGTCTTTATTTACTTTATTATCAACAAATGACTTGTTGGGCAAAGCTGATAAATGTCGTCTCCCTCACCATTTCAGTTGAGACTTCCCGCACTTTTCTATTCATTTTAAAATTCTATTTTTCAATTAACTTTAGATGAAGAATGTTTTTTTGTTTTACCATTGCTTTTCAGGCTTCACATCTCCTGATCACTGCAGCAGGAACCGGAATCGCCCCATTTGTACGGATTGTTGACCATTTACTATCAGAAGAAAATCAGAAGACGATTGTGCGTAGAATATGCCTTCTATACTGCGTTCGTACGATCGATGACGTTATTTTTGCTTCTGAATTAACTGAATGGGCTCGCTCCTGGAATATGCGCATCTGCTTGGTCTTAAGCAGTTTGAAAAGTGATGATTCTGAACCAGAGGTAGGAATTCTTTTTTTTTGTTGTTGACATTATTTCCATTTTCTCTTTCTGTCCATAATTGAGGTCGTTGACTATGAAATTTTGAAAATTCCACAATTTCATGTTTGAAGAGCTGCTCGAAAAAACAATGGATATCACTTCATTGTTTCATATATTATCAAATTTGTAAAAAGATAATGACGGATAACTTTTCGTCGTTTTTTATTTCATGCTTTAATGTTTTACTGACGTCAACACATTTTGGACAGCTGCCAATGCTTATGTGATATGATAAGATGCTTCAAGAAACTGCAGCCTTCAGTTTGAGAGAAAAAACACATTTTTCTTTCATGGAAAAAAGCTCTAAATAATAAAGTAAAAGATTGAAATGAGCTTTTATTGAAATAAAAAAAATTCAAATTAACTTCAATTTCTCCATACATCAATGAAATCTGCCTCCCAATTAGCATAAGCCACGTAGGCACTTCACGTAGACTGCACATATGTCATTTTAAGCGCAAAGGGAAAGAGCAGAGCGGTTGCATTACATTTTCTTTTTTTTTCTCTTTTCTTCTTCTTCATTTACATATTTCTTTGTGTTGCAGGATATTCCATATTTGCTTCATTGTGAGAAAGGACGATTATGCGAAGAATTGATGGAGAAATATCTGAATCATCTGCATACTTCACGTGAAAACATTAAGGTTAGTTCTTTCTTCTTTTCATGTTGATTCTAGTAAGTTTACCTTTTCCCTCACATGATGACCACCCTCTATTTTACTCTCTCTCTCTCCGCTCTCTCTCTTTCTTTCCATCTTTCTTCTTCTCTTTCTCTCACTCTCTCAACTATTTTCGCGCTCTTTTTATATTCAAGAGGATTCATTCTGCTAGTGAATATCGAGAGAACTTGTGATTAATATTTTAATGTAAACTTAATGATTCATATAAACGAAGAATCATATTACTAATTGACTACTTGATATCAATCATCTAACCATGAGTCGTGTTTCATTTATATCATTCTGATATGATACGTATTGCCAGTCATCATATGTATCTCATCTTCTCTACCCTTTGTATAGACATTGAATTCTATTTTCATCAAATATTATCGAATATTTTCACACGAACGTCTGCGTTCATGAGTACTTTGATAGTTTCTGAACATGAATCATCTCGAAAGACACCCGAAAATGTGGGTTGGAATTTCAAGTCATGTTATTATCTTTCTTTTTTTGTGTCTCATATATACACTGTCTCTATCTGCATCTCTCTACCTCTCTTCCCTCGCGTCATGTCTCTTTCCTCTCATTTTCTTTGAATATCCTTTATATTCTTATAACTCTCTTTCTCCCTTGTATTTAACTAACTATTCGCAGTTTTTTATCGCTTAATATCAACGAAAGAAGCAAATTTATAAGAGGCAAAGAGTCGGATAGAACGAGAGATGCTTTTCCTGTTGTTGGTTTACACGTTCTGTTCTCCGCTTTGCTTGCTTGAATTTCATGTATTCCTCCTCCGCCATGCTAGCACCTCAATTAATGATATTCTCGATGATGTATGGGGTGTAAGCTTGACTAATTCATCTACCTGGGTCAAATGCTTATTGATGAAGCTTACAATGTTTAGTAAATGAAGTCCAAGATTCCCAACAGATGAGTATAACAGCTGGTATATTCAACTAATCATTCATTGGTTCTCTCGGTATCCTTGGTAACGATAATATGTATTTATAATCTAGAATATATGATGTTGTTCAAACTATTGTTTCTTCACTATTTCATTCATTTCTTCCGTTTTTTCTTTTTCTTCTTCACTCTCACTTTGTTCATTCTCACAATGCTTTTTTGAACAGATGAGGTCCAAAGCTATTTTCTCACCTCAAGATGTGAAAGTCATTAGTTATCTTGTGGTCAAAGATTTCGTTCTATTCTCATTTCCGGATACCATCAACTTCGCTTTCCGGACTGATTAATGAAGTCAAACAGCAATCAGGCTTTTATATGAGCATCTTCATTCTTTCTATTCATCTTCCGAATTGAAATGTCGATGATTCATTAGTTTGTATATATCGTACAGGAGGTCAGTGCTAGTAACAACAAAACTTGGTGTGGAACTGCAGCACTTCCCCCTGTTCGGATGGTGTATTTTCTCGCAATCTGTTCAAAACTCTCTTTATATCTCAGATTTTCCGTTTTCATCCTAATCTTTTTCATCTTCTTGTCCCTTTTCTCTTCTTACTCTCTTACTTTCTGTACCTCTCTCTCGCTCAGGCTTCCTGATCTGTTCCTCTTCTTAATTGTTCTAAAATAATTCTTTTTCTTCACAAATCTTTGTTTGAAAGCTCTTCATTCATCTATATTACAAAAGTAGTTCTGATTTCTGCATCACAAGTCACAACTATCCACTTTTGACAGTTAATGTCATCGGTCTTATTTTGAACTCAATCATTTCCTTCTGTGAAATTTCCATTTTATGTCTTTCCCTCTTAGTCTAAATGACCATATGAGACGAGCACGCCAGCTTGATTTCTATCTTTTCTCCTTTTTTGATCGCGAACTGTTGAAAAAATTTTTTTTTTGTTGAAACGTGTGTGTGTGTTAAGTAAGGTAATCGTTCGGCTTTTAGGGCGGTGGAAGAAGGAGGAAATCTTTTAATCAAATATGATTGAGAAATGAAGTTCTTCCATCACTTTTTGATTCCTTCCTCCTTTTCGCTCGAATCGATTATTATCTTTCATTTCGTTTTTATGCATTCGAGACGTGAAATATACCACGTGGATTTCATTTTCTCGAAGTTACACGCCTTGAAGCGGTTGGTTTCATCCTTTTCTCCCTCAATATTTTAGTTCTCTTTTTCTTTCTCATCACTTCCCTCTTTCACTTAAATACATTTTTCTTGAAGAAGTTTTTGTTTCTTTTCTTCATAGTTCTGTTCTTCATCACTCATTATATAGCTTCATGTCACCTGTCTTAACAAGACGATTCGCCAGCATTTTTGTGTCAAACACCCATTGCATGTCCATCGTTCTTTCGTTTTGTGACAAAAGTTGTAATTCTACAACTGTTTGCTTTCTTTAAAGCTATAAAAAGGCTTTTTTTTGTGCATTTGTAGAGCTTATCTTTGTAATCGTTTCTTCATCTTTCGTGTACATGGCGTGTGAAGTTGGCAAAAATGATTTGAACTAAAGACGTCAATTGACTTTAGTTGAACTAAATTCTAAAGTTTCATTCAAACTTTAAATTTGCTTTTGACATTTTCTTCTCAAAATCAATTGTTCCGTTTGTTAAAGCCGTGTAAACGTGTACAGCTTGTAACTGATGAAATTCGATGAAGATTTTCTGTTCTCCCTACACCTCTCGGCTGCATGGCAAATATTTAATTTTTTGATTTTGTACTTCAAAGGTTGCCGCAGATTTTACATTTCAATTCTCATATGAGTATAATGAGGATTGTACGTGACTGTTTTGGCTTGTGTCCTTTTCTCTCTCTTTCTTTCTTCCTTTCTTCCTTTCCTCTTTTCTTCCTTTCTTTCTCCCTCTTCTGCTCTTTCTGAACTTTTGTACGAATTTCTCTTTGAAACGATCCCCCTTCCATTAGTTCTGAACTCTCCTTCTTTTACCCATTTTTCCTCGGCCAAGGAAGTGGTGACAGAAGGTTATAAGCAGCCAAAGGCTTCGCCTACTTCTTCCTCATTTCCAACCCCGTTACGGCTCAAAGACATTGTCCAGCTGTGATGAGTTACATCATTGTGTTCTTCACATT